AGTATAGTGGATCAGTAAGAATTTGACTGATGATCATTGACATCCTTAAGTTTTAAGGATTTCACACGAGCAATCATGCATTTTTTTCTTCTCGAGATGTTTTATATAAGCAATTTTTATTCTTGGATTTCTTAGATATTAAATCACATTATGAAAAAAATTTGGGATATGAAAGATACGAATAGATGTACTACAATTTTTTTTTTTATGATTTTGGAAATGCATAGGAAGAAAGCTGTTCTAGAGTGGTATAGGAAAACAGGTTTGACTGCATCTAAGTATCCAAAATGTGTGAACATGAGCATTTGTGTGATTGCAAGGGGTTGATTGAAGATATGAATAGTGTTGTTTAAGCAAGGTAGTGTGAATATACGTGTTGTTTACAGGAGTGCATGGAGAGGTTAGCAGTTTAAGCAGTTATTTGAACATTTGTGACAGTCTACAGCAGTGGTTCTTAACTGCAGGAATGCATTTTTGAGGGTGCGGGAGAAGCCCCTACCTAACCATAAAAGTTATTAAATATAATTTATTAAATTTCTTATAAAATATTTGTGTGTATTTTATTATGGCAAAGCACACGAGGGCTATCTGCCTAAGGGGAGGGATGCCTTCGTGGAGGACTTTCTAAGGGAAACTGGCTCGTATACATGTTACACATGGGGAAACCACGAAAACGCCCATGCAGCCAGCCCGTTCGCGGGATTCGAACCTCGGACCGAACTACCAGTGTTTAGCAACTTTACCGCTTGGTCCTGGTGGGCTAATAAAATATTTGAAATCTGCAATAGTGTCCCCAATACTGAAGCTCATAAAAATTGGTAGCACCTAGCTCACTTATCGGCAAAAGACACAGGAAAGAGCCGGTGCCGATGGGCATATACGAAAAGGCATGAAACGCTACAAACGAACGCGAACAGGCAGCTAGGTGACGGAGAAAAGAAAAAAAACTTTGTTGGAATACAAGCGTGACCTTCGAGAAACCTCGATAGCCACGAAGCCACGATACAAGTGGAGAACGTTACCCCAGCTTGCGCATGCGCTGAGTTCAACATGTGCTACTGCAATTAAATCTACGAATTCACAGATTTGTATCTGCATCTACTGCGCCTGTGTTAGGTTGAGTCAACTATGGTGTCTGCGACATGTGTATTGTGTATTCTGACTTGTCCAGAAACCTCTCGAGACTAATACATTCTTAATTGCCCGTTCAAGCTGAACAGAATTCAGTGATATTACAAACGTAAGAACATTATATATATTATATTACATTATTTCTAAATAATTAAGTCGATTATAGTGAACCCCACTATGTCAAAAAAAAACAAAAAAAAAAACCGACAATGGAACGATAAGTATGCCGGTTGTGGATTTACCTGCACAACCGAAAAAGATGTCACACAACGAACGCAATGCATCTTGTGTTTCCAAAGATATTTTCAAACAGTAATCTCAAACCATCAAAGTTATTACAAGCATTTCAACAATGTGCATGGTGGCAAAAAAGCGCATAGCATGAACAGCTTGAAGTCAAAGAAGGCGCAGTTTGATACCACTGGAACTATGCTAAAATTGTGCAGACCAGCAATTCAAAAACCTTTATTAGAAGAGTCATATCAAGTGGCATATTTATGTGGAAAAAAAAAAAAAAAAAGAAAAGAAAAAGGGGAAAAAAAAAAAAAAAAAAAGAAACCTCACACGGTCGCTGAAGAGTTGATTAAACCTTCTGCTTTAATTATTGCTAAAACAGTTTTAGATTCGGAAGCACATAAAAAAATCCAACAGATTCCATTATCGAATGATATTATACGATCACGAATACAAGATCTCAGTGAAGATATTTTAATGCAAGTAATTGAAGACATAAAAATCAGTCCACTAAAAATAAGCATGCAACTGGATGAGTCAACTGATGTTGATAATTGTAGCCAGCTTTTGGTATTTGTCAGGTATGTGAAAGGAAAAAGAGGTGATAGAAGAATTTCTATTTTGTGAGCCACTGGGAGGTGAATACGAGAGGAAATTGATATTTTCAATCGCATCAAAGAATTTTTTTACTAAATATCAATTACCAATGAATGTGATTGGCTCAATATGCACTGATGGAGCCCCTAGCAATGTTAGGCAAAAATTCAGGATTTTTTTCACAAATTGACAAAATGAGAATTACCGGAAGTTATAATAACGCATTGCATGTTGCATCGTCATGCACTTGCGTCGAAAGCATTGCCAGAAAGTTTAAAACAACATCTAACTACAGCAGTAAATGTAGTAAAATACATCCGAGGGCGAGCGCTTAATCATCGCATTTTTCGTGCATTTTGCGAAGAAATCGGTGCTGATCATACCGTGCTCCTATATCACACCGAAATACGATGGTTATCTAAGGGTTGTATGCTTAACAGAGTTTTTGAATTGCGTGAGGAAATTATTCAATTACTGACTAGTCAAAACTGTTATTTCGTAAAAGATTTTGAGAGTAATGATGCAATGCTGAGGCTGGCCTACTTAGCAGATATATTTAGCCATTTAAATGAATTGAATCTATCAATGCAAGGATTTGGTATAAATATAATAATATCTAGTGAAAAATTATCTTCATTTATTGCAAAATTAGAAATTTGGATACGTCGAGTAGAAAAGGGGAATTTTGCAAACTTTCCCTTGCTTGATTCTGTTATTGCGAAAAATGAAAAGAATACAATTATACCCGACATTGTAATACATTTGAGACGATTGAGCGAATCATTCAATGGATATTTTTCTACCTGGAAATATTACCAAAACTCAGAGATTGGATACTGGATCCATTTCTATTTGACTTAAATTTGATGGATGATAGTGATCTGAAAAAAGATCAACTTATTGAAATGCAAGCAAGTGGACATGTTCAAATGGAATTCGAACAATTAGAATTGCAAGCAATTCTGGTGTTCACAGTTACAATGTTATCCAGAATTGGCGAACGGAGCACTGCATTTACTCTTACCCTTTGCTACCACCTACTTGTGCGAAATGGGATTTTCATCGCTTTTGCATATAAAAATCTAAAGCGAGAAATCGCTTAAATGCAAGTGATGACTTACGCGTATGTCTTTCAAAAAAGGAACCTCGCTTCGCCAGCATATAATAATGAACAACAACACAGACTAGTCATTAATAAAAATAATATTGTTTTGTATTTATATAAAATGTACAATGTTTTTCAATAAACAATAAGTTTCGCAAAAAATGCACTTTTCTAGACTAAATAAATAAAAACACATTTTTCAATGGGGTGCGGGAGATATATTTTCAGATTCAATGGGGTGCGACTTGCTAGAAAGGTTAAGAAACACTGGTCTACAGATTCAAATATTTTGAAAGTAGTTCAAATGAGTTTGCTACAAATGAAATGAAGTTCATGAACATGTTGTTATTGACTGGTTTATGTTTTGCAGAGAGGTATGTCAGATGGCCGGGATCAATAAAAGTGTTTTTGGTGAAAAAGTAGTAATTGCTGAAGTGGCAAAAGTTTAAGTTTGGGAAAATGAAATATGGAAAGGGTAAGCCTGCAGATGGCTACTGAGTTGCTGGTCGAATTGAAAAGGAAATGAATAGTGTTTTCATAGAGGTTGAGAGCAGAACAAAAGAGAACCTTCCGAGCATCATTAAGAATTGTGTACTGCTGAGGACCACTGTTATATTGGACTACTGTAAAGAATATGACGGCTCTTGGAAGTAGGCTGCATACAATGGCATGTCAATAATAGCTTGACATTCAAACTCCCTGAGATGGGGGTGCATACAAATTCAAATGAAATGACTTCAGCAGTGAAACATGCCCTTTAAAATAATTTCAATCATATGGAGAATGAATCTGATTCCTATTTGGGAGAATATATGTAGAAAAGCTCAGTGAAGGAGAAAGCTGATGGACATGATCAAGCTTTATCTGCTGTGGGAAAAAAATGCATGGGAAAACTAATGTTATGAGAAAAATCTTGTCTTTTTGATAACGTATTGTCATTTTATACCCATTTCTTTGCAATGACTTGTAACTCAAGTCATTGCAAAGTAGTTCAACTGAACTGTGGACTGTGGACAAACTGAACTGAACTACAAACACGCGAAATTGACACTTCATGAAATTGTATCCAAACAGTGGGTTACAGTATATTTTCCCTGAAATTCTGTAGCAATCATTCTATTAGGAAGAAAGTGAAGAATCACCCACTGCTTGGCACAATTTTAAGAATTGCACAAACTCAGTATCTATATACACATCTACATACTTAAAAAAAAAAAACAGAGAATTGCACAAACTCGGGACTGCACACTCCCTTGACTTTGTCCATGTACACATCGATCTATTTTCATTTAAAAATTCAAAGGAACACCAAATTCTTCTTACTCTTGTAAAAAGATCAAACAAAACATGTTAAATAAGTGGTCGATTCTGCATTTCACTGAAGAATAAATTCAAAGCAATAATTCCCTTTAGCAATTTCATGTAAAGTACTGTATTCCTCCACAAATTTTAGAGCAGTTTCTATCACAGCCAGAAGATCACTCAAGTGCATATTTTGAAATTGAATTTCAGTCAAATATATCAAGATTCATCTATGAAAGCTGCTGGTAAATTGGTATAAATGGTAACAAACAAACAAAACAAAACAAAACTTGCATGAAAAAGGAAGTGGCTAAAGTGCATAATCGTCCACTTATTTGTTTGGTGCTTTTTACAAGAGTAAGAAGTGGATTTTCATTGACTTTTTAAGTGAAAATAAGTCGATGTGTACATGGATACTGAGTATGTGCAATTCTTAAAAATGTGCCAAGCAGTGGGCGATTCTGCAATTTCTCCAAGGAAGCTTGTTGCACATTGTTATATGTGCAATTGCTAAATTTGGCGACTTCAACTATGGTAATTCCTCCAATATGTAAATACAAAATTTTTAATAACTTAAACTAATATATATATAACTTTCTAATTTTAGAAATTTTTTTATGCAGTATTATACCATGGACAGCTATCCAATCATTTACAGATTCTCCAGGAGGCACTTTTACAGCTTCTCGAAGATTTATGCCAGAATTCAAAGATGCTTGAGCTTGTTTATGAAGAGAATATCTTAAAGTCCCCGGCTCGAATTTCTTTTTTGGCCGAAAAGTCTTAAAAACAACAGATTAAATTAGCAAAAATATTAGTTTACAGAACTTTAAATATAGCAAATTGTCATTCATAAGGTATTTAAATAAGAAATTAACTAAAGATCCTGAAAAACAATACATTATTTAAATAACAAAAACACTTAAGTGTCATAAAATATACAGAGTGAATTTATGTCATAATTAAATTAAATGTTCAGTGAATGAAAAGACTACTAAAATAAATAAGTTTTTAATAAAATTTTAATTACGATAATATAAAAATGCTGAAAAAGATAAATACCTCCTAAAAGAAAATGGAACTAAAAATATTTGTAATTATTATATTAGTTGATCAGAGTATTCAGATGTTTTAATTTTTAATAAGATTTGATTATTAACTCAGACAAAGACAATAATTAACAAATTAATTCTGGAAACTAGATTAATTATTGCTGAATAGTATCTGATATGTACGAAAGCAATACCGGCTATATTAAAATATATCCTCTGATAACAAGAGAACATAAAACATACCTTCCTCTTGTGGAAAAACTCCATGAAGTTTGCCATATCCTAACGCATCTCATTTAAGACAGCAAATTTCCGGCTAACTTTATCATGCGGAAAACACTTGCATCCTCTTGTATCTACTCTTCCGGCCAAGGGCATTTACCACCAAAACAGAGATGAGCTAACGAATAAACAAGGAAGAAAACGAAGAACTGCTCTGTTTCTCCACCCACACATCAAGGATATTCAATCATCAAGGATATGCAACTCAATAATACTTTTTTTAATGTGTGCATTACAGTTATAAATCATAAAAAATACAATATCACTGGAAATATATTAGAATATTTGTAAATAAAACTTCATTTCTTTCAGAGTTGGACAAAATCATCACGGTATCAATTTCTTTCGCTTTTTCCTACCAGCAGGTTAAAAGACATTTAGCATAGTGCAACACGAAACAATCTCAAAAGTGGTGCGGTTATACATTGCATCATATGCCTCGGTTCAAACCGCGTTGTGTGGTGTACTAGCGTGTTTAGTGTTGTTTCATTGTGATTTCTGTATTTTTTTCAAACTTTGTAAAGTAAGTTTAATTCTTATGACCGAATTTATAGTTTCTTATATATCAGAGTATATCTTTTTGTTGCTTGTTGTGAAAAAAATTATTATTTTAGTGTAGACTGATTAAATTTTAATTAATGAAATTGTTTCATGAGAGAAGTGCATGTAATAAAATCATGTGGGGTTTCCTTTCTTAAAGAACTTGTTGGCGACAGCGCATTTTTGTCGACCCTTCCCCAATTTTAAATTTTGAAAAAATGTTATAATTTTTTTCATTATTTGTAAGTTTAATGCGAGATGTTTCTCATGCATAAAGAAATACAATGAAGAAGTTACAAACTCTTTTTCAAAAAATAAAGTAATTTGGGACATAAAGAATTTGTTTAACCATGATATTTGGTGAACAGCGTGATATTAAGGATATGTAAGCTAAAAATTAGCTATTTGATCATATTAAGTATTTTGAAGTCAAATGTGGCTTGTTAAACATGATAATTAGCACAGTTAAATTCAGGCTAGCAGAAAAGTGTGATATTAAACATATGCAAGTAAAAAAAAGCCGGTTAAACGCGATTTTTCATACAGTTAAATTGAGGTTGGTAGAAAAACATAATTTTAAATGTATGAAACTAAAAATTAGCATAAAAAGGTAAAATAAATATTAGTATTATTATTAAAATACATTTCTAATTAACTCTATTACTAAAGCGAGTTTTAAAAAACTTTTATACAATACTTCATTTGTTCTTTCAGATTTTTATGGCCCTGAAAAGGGCTTTTTTTCAAAAACTGGACCGTTGAGTAAATTGCCGGACAATTAGTAATTACATGTAAAATTCCCGCGAATGCAAAACCATTTGAGTATGTGATCAGCTAGATTTGCTTTATGAAGATCATTTCATACGGGAAATGGAAGAAATTTACTTTAAGAGTAAAACAAAATAAATTTTATGAGTTTATCATTTTGCTTTCAGAGGCAGCCTGTTCATTGTGTGGTCTGGATATGTGCACCATTTGCCTAGTTAATGAAATCTGTGAAATTATTTACAGCCTAATGCACACACATAATATCCATGCCTGCCCAAGAATGAATGTTTACCATTCATCAGTCATAATAATTGTTCCTTTTGTCATGTGCTTCTTAATTAGCAGCATCAAAATCTCTGCTAATCTGTTATTTGCTGTAATCATGTTTTCAATGAAGGCAATAATTTTAAGACACCATAGACAACCATCTGTCTCCAACAACTTCCTTAATTACACAAAAATATTTCTATCTGGTCATTGTAAAAAAAAAAAAAAAAAAAAATCATGAAATATAGCATAAAAATCAGAGAAAATAATAGTAAATAATTAAAGAATAAGTTATGTGTGCAAAGGCCAACAAGGAATGTCATATTTCAAAAAAAAAAAAAAAAAAACTAAAGAGGAATGGTTGCTATCTCTGAACAAGTGAATCCATTGGATTACAAGTTTTGAAGTATTATCACCATTGTTCATAGTATTTTATCAGGTCCTTTGCAGAAGTGCTTCTAGCCCTTTCAGCGGGATTCAAATCCCAGTTAAACTTTGTAAAAAAAAAGATCCAGATTTTACTCCAAGAGCATCGGAAAGGATGCTGACTGAAAATTACCAGAAACTACCTTAATCCTCGTATAATTCATGGCTACTGAAATATTATAATCATTCTACATTACATTTGCAATAAGATGAAATTTTTATTGCAGTAGAATCTTATTTAATTGGCTGCGATGGGACCTTATCAACTCTAGATAAGAAGTTTGGTTTAATCCTAGTATCCGGTGCACAAGGTATTGGAGCGACTTTATGATGAGCAGTAAAAGGGACATATGCGATGAGTAGCTAAACAAGTCATTTTGGTGTTAGCGATAATTTTCAAAATCGCGCCAAGGCTGCACCGTATACTAGGATTTAACCTTAGGTTTTTCTGGATGACTTCATTTCTTGAATTTATGTTGTAAAATTTATAGCATTTAGTTTTGAGTTAAAGCTCCCTTCCTATCTATCCTAATTTCAGCTTAAAATTCCTTACCATAACATGTTTTTAGAATCGCGTTTAATGCAAATGAGTAGGAGTAGTATTCGAAGTTCCAGTGACTTAGAATTTGAGTTTCTGGCTAGCGCACTTTTGTCTTTTGGCCACATCTCTCTAATCTATTACTATGCTCTGCCCTATTAGTTAGCCATTAGTTAAGTTCTTATTTCTTATAATTTTGAGTTTAAGCGCAAGTAGAGGCTTTGTTGTACGTTCTGAGAAAGGAGCCATCTGTTAATCCTTATTTTGAGCAATAAAGGTTAATTAACATTTCTTGAGCTTTACGTTTCTGTTACTGAACTTGAGCAATTATTTGCTTAGCAGTTCTAGGTTCCACCACACTTAATCATTAGATAAAAAGGAAGGAACTTCGCAACGTGTTCATGTTTTTGGGTGAAATGCTATTGGTAGAAATTGCAGCATGGTCTGCTCATGTTTTTCAAACTATTGATCACAAATAAATAATAATAAAAGTTGTCCAGATTATTTAAAATTAAAACACATTACTCAATTTTATATTTCAGAAAAGAAAACTAAACATTTTAAAATTACCATATACATTATTTATAAAGTTTATGACCCACAACGTTTGCCGACAGTGAAAGTAATGTTCTTTATCTTTTCAGCAAGTGAATATATATATATATATATATATACAACATCTTTCATTGTGAATTGTTTCTGAAAATCATGAATAGTACTTTTAATAACACAGGAAAAGGAATTGGTAATTTATATTACTCCTTGGCTAGGTTGAGAGAAACATAACAAATGTTTTCCACATTTAAATCTTCAGCTAAAGTATGGCACAGCTGTTGTCTAATAAAAGAATCACTTTTCTGTATAATGATATTATTAAATGCTTCTTCACGCTTGCACAAATGCATTACGAGACCATTCCCGGTATATACAGTCAAAAGTCGTTAATCCGGACTCAAGTCCTATAATTGCTGTGTCTACAGACTAATTTGTCAATCGAAATTTTTTCGTTTTCAATAACTCTCACTTTTTTCGCTATTCGAAGCGAATTATAAAGACGAGGAATTTGATTTAAATAATATCAAAGATGGAGTACATCGAGATGAATTACTACATTTAGTAAGGAATTATAAGCCAAATAAAATAAAAACATCTGTCCTGAAGATAAGGATAGTGCTGACAGATAAACTTCCAATTCATTGCGCGCCCGCTGCCGTGGCGTTAAAGATAAACAAAGTTTAGATAAACAAACGTTAAAGTTTAGATAAACAAAGGATATGCCTTTATCCATTTTTTGTAGCAATTCCACTTTTTGTTTAATGAACTTTGAAACATACTTTCGCTTTGTAGATCCTTTACATATTAATAAATATATATCAGATATTCTATTTGACATAATCGAAAGTTCAAGTTTACTTTTATAAAATTGCTCTAACAGTCTGCAAAAAATAATAAGCCAGATCCAGTTAGAAGATTAAGGAAAAACGCAATCTGCAACATTAACTGAAATAGATAATTAGTTAATTTCAGCTTAGCTTATACCGTTCGTTATACATTAAACGCGCACTTGTAAACGTATTTTGTGCACGTGCACAAGCATATTCGCAGCCGTAAAGGTCTTATGCGTATGCGTCAACGCGATGCATGCGCAGAAAGTTTGTAGCTTTGAGGTCCGAATTAACGACTTTTGACTGTATAGCAATTTATCTGTGGGTTCTTTTATGACTGATAATGGGCAGGTAATTTTTTTTGAAGCACCAGTGTTTGTTGTATGGACATACTATTAATAATCCATAATAATTTTGATGTGCACTGTGCAAAAAAAAGGAGGGAACAGCTCTGTTTTTCCCTTTCTACTGGGCCGATTGACAAAATTCAAATTGTGTTTTTTATGTCTTGAAAGTGTGACTTAGGATATATATTAGATTTGGTTAATCTTTGGATTATGGTAACTTGGCGATTTTTGGCGAAAATTTGGCAACCAACACTGCTACAGCAACCTTCTACTTTTCGCTTGCGCCGCCATTTTGTCTTCACGAAGACATGTTTCTTTTCTTTTTATTTACTCAACATTTTTTTCCAACCAACTGCTAGCCGATTACTTACACTATGCTAGAAATTTTATGGAACAAAAGTGCTTAATCATGACGAATATTAACTGCAAAATGGGAGAATGTGCAGAATCGCAAACTCCTTGCCGCGTTTTTCAGAATGGCAAATACACGGTAACCATGTACATGTCGACCTATTTTCACTTAAAAAAACATCCCAGAATTGCACAAAAATGGTACTGTGCACACTCTTTATCCATGTACACTGCTTTTTTCTAATAAATTAGAAAAATTTGCACGAAAATGCAGGAAAATTTTGTGAATCTTTAAAGTCGGTAAAAAGGGCATATATGATCGCGTAAAAGTATATACCCTTTCCAAGGATGAACATTTGCACGTATAAAATAAATAAAATATCCAAAATCTTTTCCCTCCAAATTATCTATTATAAACGTCACCTGCGAATTTATAACGCAAAAATTAAAAATGGTTGCAAATACTTAGTGTCAAATATTTAAATTATTGGCCATGCATGTTTACTTCTACTGAACGTATTCCAAATGCTACAACATATAATTCACAAAATCACTATCATTTAATTAAAATATAATTAAATTATAAAACACTGAAAAAAATAAAAACATACATTAAATTAATAAAATTAGCCTAAAATATTAATTACTTAAACTAATTTCATTGCTAATAACAATTTTCCAATAATAGCATATTAATTTATTCATTTCTTATATTTAGAACAATGCATAAAAATAATATCTTCAAATGATTAAAAATATTAACGTACCGAATCTTCTTCAGAATCTCAATCGTATTCTTATGTGGGCTTGTTTCAGGATCTTTAAAATCATACTTGTGGTTAACAGCAAGATGTTGAAAACCTTCATCCTCCAAACAGGCGTATTGACTTCCACTAATCAGATATTATTATTGTACCCAGTAGAATATACTGCTTAAGAAAACTTGAAAAGCAATCTTTACTTCTATCTCGCACAACCTTAAAAAAACACTTATTATTACCCCTTTCAGTCCCACTAAATACCCACTTTAGATAAGGCCATGGGATCCAAAAATTAAGCAACACTCTTTCACACAACACAGAATGAAGCTAAATACAAAATGTTATAAAGTACTGCAGATATTTTTCCAGATTTCCCTCCTCTTCCGATTAAAGAACTGTGATTCGTCTATATATGTCACATGGCATATCTCATGATCTCTCATTTCTCTCGGACAAAATAATCCACAATTGGAACTGGGTACTTCTCACATTATTGCCAAAGTCCTAGGTAATAACCTTTATCGCCTACCAAAATGTCGCCAAACTGCCTGTTCCCATATCCCAAAGATTAGCCTTAGATTTATATATAGCATTGTTCTAATATAGGTATTTTGACACAAAATAAGACTTTTTCTGAAATGACATGCCAATTTTTTTCCATATTTCAATTTTATGACTCAAACTATGCCTAAATAATAAATTTTGTAAAACTTGGTGCAAAATATAAAGAGAAATTCAAAAATTTATCTTGGAACATTTTTTTTTTTCAATTGCTTGGTGAACTTCTTAGTTTATAGCAACCTAATATTTTCCTTTGCTTTTTTTCATTGTAAACGAGCAGGAAAAAATCATCATTCATACTTTCAAATAATTTTAACAAAGTGCTTAAACCACATTTGGCATTATTATCTCTTACAACAAACAAATATGCCAAATTTCAAAACGTGGCAATATGTAAATTCACGTATATTGTACGAAATTTTGAATAAAAACTCTAATTTTTTGCAGGTATACTTAGAAATATATTTATTTTAAGATGATGGTAAAAATTTTGTAGATTGTAATTTAAAATTTTTTCGAAAAATTTATAAAAATACAAATTTTTAAAATAAATCATTGAAAATAGACTTATTTATTTTGAATGAACCTAAATTTTGAAATGTGAAAGGAAGAATCAAATAAGTTGAATAAAAAAAGAGAGATTAATAAATATATACTAAATTCAATTAGCACTGAGCAGGTAAAATTTTGAGAGCTAATTTTTTTAGAAACTACTGCGATTTTTACAAAACTTGGCAATTTGACATAATTTGACTTGTAGAATCAAAGTATGGGAAAAAATTGGCATGTCATTTCAGAAAAAGTCCGATATTATGAAAAATGCAAGTTGAATTTCATCAATCAGCCCAGTAGAAAGGGCCTTTTTTTTTTTTTTTTTTTTTCCCCCGCAGTGTACATGCAGCATTTCCACATATCCTGAGAGTCGTCCAGATTTTCTTCAACTATAGTGGATTCTATCAGCATTGTGAATTTATAGAGTTATCTTGTTTCTTTATTACATATTTATTCATATTCATCCATTAATTTAATTCTGCTGCTCTTTTATTTATTTTCTCCATCAAATCCAATTTTAACTGAAAGTGAGACTATTTTTCTTGCGTTTTGCCGTAATATCCATAGCAAAACTACATGGTAAAGCATACACCTAGAAATACATGGAGGTAAGAAAAGGAGTGGCCAGCTCGGCACTAAGAGTGAAGCACTGCTTCGAAACTTCAGTCTCCAGATGGGTGTTTTTTGTTTACATTCAGCAGCTCCCTTGAGAGCGCTTCAATAGTATTTCGACACACGACAGTTCCATCAGATCGAAAAACTGGACATATTTGCATAAAAGAAATATTCATTGTGTGATGGATAATAGCAATTTGTATAATTTAGCGACATTTACGCAAAAATCACATCTTGGTTATTTTTCAATAATTAACAACAAGCGATTTTGATTATGAATTTGGGTGAATCTTCGAATTATGGTAACTTAAAGAAAATTTGCCAACCAACCTTGCTACAGCAACCTTTTTATGCCATTTTTTTTCCCCTCAACATTTTTTCCAACAATCTGCTAGCCGAATTACCCTTATGCTAAAACTTTTATGGAACAAAAGTGCTTAATCATGACGAAGATTAGGTGTGAAATGGCGAGAAAGTGCAGAATCGCCCACTGCTTCGCACATTTTTTAGAATTGCACATACGCGGTATCCATGTACGTGTCGACCTATTTTCACTTAAAAAAACATCCCAGAATTGCACAAAAATCGCATTGTGCACACGCTTGACTTTATCCATCTACAGATCGACCTATTTTCACTTCAAAAGTCAAAGAAAATTGACAAAAATCTAATTGTTCTTATTCTTGTAAAAAGTGGCAAACAAATAAGTGGGCGATTCTGCACTTTAGCAGCGAAATTGTTTCTAAGTGCTTATTAGCTAAAATCACGATTGGAATTTTCTGGAAAATGTCTCACGATCTCTCATTTTCTCTGAGACAAAATAATCTGTCGAACTGTATACTTCTCAGATTATTGCTAAAGTCCTACCTAGTAACCTTTATCGCCTTACCAAAATGTTGCCAAACTACCTGTTACCATATTCCAAAGAGTAGCCTGAATTTGTTTTATAAAATTTTAAGCTGTTGAACTACAAAAATATAGATTTTAACAAAAATGTTATGCTTTAAGAATAAAAAATACCTTACGGTACCTTTAAAATTGTATACATGTTTCGATACCATTGATAGAATATTCGCTACTTTTTTTTATGTTCCAAACACCAAAATGTTTCAAATAAATAATTTTTTTTTGTCTTCCACATATTATTGTGACATGTACTTTTAAAAATTTTTTAGAGGATTTATAGTTGCTCATTTTATTTTTATATAACTTAAAAATAATCATTTTGGGTCTACATGTTTTGCTTATTTGGGTTAATTAAAAAATAAAATTACCACTAAATGCCGCAATCCTCGACAAAATTAATAAATGTACACATAGATATGCCAATAAGCTAACTTTTTCTTGATTTATAACCACACATTTGAAAAAATTATATACAATTTCGCATAAATGTATGGAACAGAAGATGGATACATTTGCGAATTCCATGGAAGTATTATGTGTGGTCAAGATGATGTGACCATCGGAACGTGCCACATCATCAAGACAGATTAAGAATTTGAAAATAGGGTAATCGACAGAGGGGAAAACATTTATGTTTCCTGCCAAATGAGGTCCGATCATGAATGGCCCTCTTATTGATTGTTCGTACTGGAAAGCAATCTGTTAAAAGGTATTGTAAGGCGAATTCTACAAGATGCGTACTTAAGTAATAAAAAAGAGTTTTAGAATATATATTGTTGAAATTAAGGGTAAAAAAAAATCTGATAAGTATAATTAAAAGTCCCCTTACATTTTATAATAACTCAGTTACAAGTTTTAACTAATATTTAAAAAAAATCCTTATTTTATTCCCTTTCAGAAATATTCTGAGAAAGTTAAGTACTATTTAAAGTATTTAGCTATTAAAATAAAAGGTGCTCTAATTTGAAATGAACCAAATAGAGCATTAATTATAAATTGACATAGATTTTTTGATTTAAAATATGCCTCAGAAGCTAAAAAATCATGTCATATATGATAAAGTATTTTAAGAAGAGGATCTATAAAGACAAAAGAAATAATGCATAATTTTAATATTAACAATACAATAAACTTTGATCTTAACTTTTGTAATCCTTAACCCAATAAAATCGAATTACCTTAAAAATTTTTTTCTAATATATAATTAAGGAAAACTTGCAAAAATATTTCATTCAAATTAAACCATTCTGAGCAAACTGTGCTGTGAAAAGTATAGCATTTAATTCTGTTTAGAATGAAATGTTGTTTTAAAATGTATTATTTTCATATACTTAGGACTCTGAAATATTGCAGAAAAAGAAAATGTATGCATTTATATATATATTTACAACATCGTTACAAATTATTTACATCTGATTGTGTCAAAAACCCATTGAACTTAAAGGTAAATGACCCAATGTTTTGGTCACCGTGAAGAATCACCAGTGCTTCAAAGCAGTGTATTATGAAAACCGATTAGGGCCACTCCATCTTATTTCCTACCTCTATGTACAAATGTAGTCCAATGGTACAAGTTGAAGGTTCCATCTGTGCTACTTATGAAACTAGCCATGTGAACTCTCTTAAACAGTGAACTGTTGGAAGTATTGTGGAACCACATGGGCATGTGACACGCCTTTACATATGACAATGTTTCTAAGTTAACCTATTTCGGTTCCCCTCCCCCCCACAGGCCTAAATTTCTGATTTAAATTTAAACCCTTGAAAATTGAAGTATTTTGATGATATCAGTTAATTTGGATGTTGGTTGTGATAGATTTTACTGTATATAGGCATCTAAAGATGTTAGTGCATGCCAGAATTAGAAATATTACTTTTGCCATTGTTTTAAAACTGCGTGTTACTGAGTTTTACTTTGAATTGACCCTATTATAAGCAAGATGAAACTGATAGTTGCTTTTATTTTCAGTATGGATGATGATGCAGAATGTTACAAATTATGGAGAATTAGGCGAACTATCATGCAGGTTGTAAAATATTTATATTTCTTATTTTGTTTAACACTGAGAATATCAGATATATGTATGGAATTTGTATCAAATTATTATTTATGTGATTTATATTTTTTGCCATTATTACTTTTCATAATAATACCATTCAATATGTAAGTTCATTTATTTTTTGTAATTTAGTATAAATGTAAATTCATTTACTTTTCATAATTTCATCAATTTTAATTATCAGTTAAATAACAGAAAATATTGGTTATTATTCCTGAATCATAGTTACAAGTATTTTTGTACTACTAAATTGGTGACTGAAGTGATGTACGAATATTGATTTTAAGTACGATGATGAATTTTTCTTGAATTCACTGAGCTTATTTTATGTTCTTCTATCTAGAAAGTGTAATATGTAGTTATAGTTCTAAACTTTTCCCAGAATTATCTAAAATCATTACAAATTGTTACAGGTTGTTCCTAATGTTAAAAAAATTCTATTAGAAAGATTTGAAGAACTTTTCCAAAATATTTTTATGATAAAAATCAGGTCTGTGCACTCGGAGTCATGGAGTTGGAATCAGAGTCTGGCAAAATTCGGGGTAAAAGGAGTCTGAGCTGGAGTCGCTAAAAACAGATCAACTCGGACTCTAGTTTTTGTTGGACAGTTTGAATTTGAAATGAAATTAAAATGAATTGAAAAAAAAAAAATAATGACAAACTAAGTTTTTATTTCTATTATGGACTATATGCATTAATAAATAGTTATTTTCGATTTTATTGACATGTTAATAAATAAATATAAGGGAGGAGGATGGATGTGATATTTGCCATTAGTGATTAAACTGATTCATTTAGTTATAAATATCACTGGTAAATTTAGGTAAGCAGCAATAGCAGCAAGAACTCCCAAAATTGATGCCATTCTTAGGAAGTGAGCAAGAAAAGGAGCAATTAGTGATCAAGCAACGCAATAAGGAAATACATATTTGATGATAAAGAGGTTGTTAGAATTATGTTTTTTAGAAGATAAAGATAACCCTAATGTTTCACTAACAGACTGTGGAATGATCTTGCAGAATAGGAAACTCTTCTTTCTACACCATATACAGCCACAAAAAAGTTGCAATCTGAAGAATTGACAGGAGGTGAGAATGGAAGAATGTGATGTTTGTTCTTTCTGAAATGGAGGGTTTATTGCAGAAGGAATCATTTCTTCAATAAAGAAAAGATAAACTAATTTGCTAGACAATGAGATCTTGCTTGGTTCATATATGTAGGTTCGAAACACCGAATTTTCTTAGATGACGAACAAATTAAAAAGGCAAAGAGAGCCATCTATGAACTTTCATTAAGAATGAAATTATTTTCAGAACAATTGGAGAATTCAAATCGGGACAGTCAAACTGCAGCCATTGCAATTGAGCCTCTATCATCCTCTTCCAAAGATGAATTAGATTTTAAGAAATATTTTTTGATAATATTGAAAAGGCTAAGCGATTAAAAATAAAGAATCTTTAGATATAAAAATAAAAAAATACAAACAAGATTTCCAAAGGGCCTTTGAAGAAATAGAGAAATATTATTGTGCTTGCAAGACACCTCTTTTAGAACTTCTAAAAAAATCTTTCCTGAAAAGTTAAAAGAAAGTAGCCCTAACAGTAACAGCTCTTCCTCCTACTCAAGTTAGTGTGGAAAGACTCTTCTCAGATCTGAAGTTTATCAAATCAGATCTATGGCCCTCCAACAAAGGTCTTGCCGAAGATGTACTGTTTCTTAGAAATAACTAATGCCAGTTTTTCCATTTCATAATAAATGCTAATTAATATAAATAATTTCCTATGCCATCAATTTTTTCTGTAGCATCTATTACTTCTTTTATACTAAAAAAATAAGCTATATCCCATGCGTATATGTTTACATATATGTATATATGAGGGAGTCAGAGTCACACGGCCACGTCGGCCAGAGTCGGCGCGACCTTTGTTGCATTCAATAATACATCTTGCAGTCAAAAGACTAAGTGACCATGCAACCGTCTTCCAGGTGGAATCAGAGCTCTCAAAGATGCCACCCTATAGACTGGCCAATTCAAGAATAAAGATACAGTACAAAGTCTTTATTCCAGAATGATCTATAATCCGGACCTCAAAGCTACAAACTGTCTGCACATGTGTAGCGTTTACGCATGAGCATAATACGTTTATGCGTGTGTGTTTAATGTATAACGGATGGTATAAACTAGGCTAAAATTATCTATTTATTTATTTCGGTTAATGTTGCAGATTGCATTGTTCCTTAATCCTCTAATTGGATCAGACTGTTGGAGCAGTTTTATAAAAAATAAGCTTAAACTTTCGATTATGTCAAAAAGATTTTCCGATTCTGGAGCTGGCAAAGGATCCACAAAGCGAAAGCATGTTTCAATGTCCATCAAACAAAAAGACAAATTGCTGCAAAAAATGGATAAAGGTATGAAGAAAGTGACGGAGAAGTTAATGAGGACTTGAACAGCAGAACTTTGTAACTGAACAAGAAATTATGTCTGTTTATAGAATTAAAGAGAAAGTATTAGCACAAAAAACGAAGCAACTTAAACAACTTGCATTGAAACAAATGTTTAATAAAATAAACAAATAAATATTAAGCTTTTTTTTTTTGTAAATTTTGATACCCTTTAGATCATAATTGCTCTTTATTTCATAAATCACAGTTTCATATTTTTAATTGTGTAATTTCTGTATGTCATCTTACCAGATTTAAATTGATGATCTATAATCCGGAATCACCGAAGTACTGATGAGTCCAGATTAAAGACTTTGTACTGTATTTATTTCTACACAGACATTATGAGTGCCCTCCAAAGCTTAAACAAAATAGGACAAATACCGCTGCACATCCCTGTCCTAAAAGGACTGCTAGCTACCCTGGGCGATGACAACAATCATCCTACAATAGATAAGAGGCCACCAAGGCATCATCTGGAACGAGGTCGCGAACGGAGCAGCCTAAGAGGCCACTCTTCTTTCTAGCTTCGACGGTCAAGTACCTATTTCCGAAATTGCAACCAAATCAAAGATTCATTGGATATTTCTGGTAAGAACGATGGGACACAGCGGAGACAGGCCAGTTTACCTATTCCATCACCGTCTCATTAAAAAGACTCAAATCAGTTTTCTATAGCCTGCATCCACAGCAGATGCCAATGTCAACTACTACTTGACGACGTGTCCACTGACGAAAGATCTTCGACAACGTCACTTTTCCACCCTAGGACCGGACCCAAGCCTGGAGTCAATCTTCAAGGATTATTATGGACAAAGAGGCGCCCGAGCCATTATCAAATATGTTAACGACCATCAAAATGAGATATGTGTAAGCAGGTGATGAGACTTGGCGAATGTAATTGGCAGCCTGCCAAAAAAAGACCCTGTGAATATTGTACATAGACTACTAACCTTATTTAATCTTAATTACTAACAGCTCGATGTATTACTTTATAATTAATTAACTCTGTAATTTAACACGTTTAATATATATTTGTAATTTTCGTTATAATTAATAAAGTAATCTGAATGAAAACGCAACAACCGGAATGATTAGTACCGACCTGTAGTGCTCGATGAGAGGCGAAGCGTGCTGTAATAAATATTATTATTATTATTATTCTGTACCTAACTGTTTCAGAGAATCACACCAGCACCAAGGAAAGTTGCTGAAGATGATGAAGAAGGTGCAGTAACAGTAGATTTAATTGCTGAAGGCCTCCAACTGACTAATAAACTTGGAAATCATTTTAAGAACATGAAATCATTCTACAATTTCAACGGAATTTGACCGCTTGCAGGGCTTGTTACCAAGACTTGCACAAAGAATTCATTAAAACACAGTTACTGTTATCGGTTACTGAATTTTCGTTTAAATCTATTAAAAATGTGTGGAAAGAAATATTACGCAGGCTCTGGATATCTCAAATGATGTCATGCCAAATGTGCATAAATGAGTATGTCTGTAGTCTGATAGTGAATAATCTTTGTTGCGATTCTTTTAAGCATTTTTAAATTTAAAAAAATTTTTTTTTTTTTAAATCAAGATACAATAAGGAATTTTATTTTTTCATATCCTGAATTGTTCTTTATACAAGGAAACTTCTTTCTTCATGAGTTACACTACAGCTTATTACAGGCTAAGGCCATCTCAAGAAGCCGCCTGCAATGGATATGATCAATCGCTATGGTCCACTAATGATTGATTCTACACAATCTATTCACATTGTGCTAGGTCGTCCTCTTTTCCTGCTACCCTTTACACTTTGAAAGGTCACCTTTTTTTAACAGGATTCAAGTTGTCACATCTAAAAATATGTCTAAGCCACCTGATACAATAAGATATTATGACTTGGGACAATATTAAGATATTTGTATCTTCTATAGATTTCATGATTAAGCAAAATTCACCATCTATTATTTTCTCTAACTGGGCCATATATTTTTTGGAATATTTTTCTTAAGAAGATTACAAGTCTTTCTTCATCTGTTTTTGTTAATGGCCTGCATTCACTACCATGCAATATGGTAGGTCTAATAAGAGTTGTATAAAGAATTTTTTATCTTGAAGTTTAATAATTTAGACGTAAGTAAATTCATTAAACCGGGATAACTCTATTATCTCCAAATAATCTATTGTCGATTTCAAGTTTAGTATTGTGATCATTAAAGATAATACCAAGATATGTAAACTGAGCAGTGACTTCAAAAGTATAAGAATTTATTTGCAGTGAGAGAGGATTATGTGTTCTACCTATTACTACCATAAATTTTGTTTTACTCTCATTAATGGTTAGTCCAATGTCTCTGGCTGCAGACTCTGAAGAAATAAAAGTCTTCATAAGCACCTGTTTACTTCAGCCAATAGCATTGATGTTGTCAGCTAGTAACTGTATAGATTTTTGAAAAATGGTGCCTTTAAATTTATAACTAAATTCTGGATTCTCTGCAAGGGCAATATTTAAAAACATGCATGCAAGTGCATCACCGTGTCTCAATCTCCTTTCAGTATAGAATGCGTCTGATAGATCAGACATGATTTTAACTCTGTACTTAACTCTCTTTAAAGTCATTCTAGATAGGTCAACCAATTTTCTTGGAAATCTGAATTCTGCATAGCTTCAAACACCTTTTCATGGTATATGCTATCGTAAGCAGCCTTAAAGATCAGTAAAAAGGTGAAAGGTATCAAAATTATGTTCAATAGTTTTTTTTCAAAATGTGTTTAACAGAGTAAATTTAATGAATAGTAGATTTTACAGCTTGAAATCCACATTGGTAATTGTTAATAGCTGCAAATGCCTATGATAATAACCTATTATATAAAATATGGGAAAAGATTTTAAATGCTCGCTTTAAGATTCTGATACCTCGATGATTGTAACATTCAAACCTGTTTCCTTTTTTAAAAATGGAATATATGGAGCCTTCTACCCATTCAATGGGCATCTGCTCCATAGTCCAGATATGAAGTATAACCTTATAAATAACATCAATCAGTTTAGGTAAGTTAATACTAATAAATTCTGCCTTTATATCATCTGCACCTGCAGTCCTATTGTTATTTAGATTATCAGTAACCTTCCTGACATCACACAAGGATGGTGCATTAAGTTCCAGAGTTTGATCATTCTCGAAAACATCGAGATCGGTAGTTAGACCATCCTCTTGCCTTAGATCACTTCTGCAGAGATTTCAAAAGAACTCTCTTCATCTTTGCAGCACTTCAACTTGGTCACTTGTAAGCTCGCTATCATCTTTTCTACAAGTAATAATCCTGTGATAGGCAAGTAAGATAGAGCACTGATTTTCTGTTAAACTTTTTTTACTCTTTTTGTGTTTTTAAATTTTTGATCTCGCTAAACTGTTCCTCCACATATGTTTTCTTTTACTTAGGAAATGGTCTTCTTTCTCATCTCAACTTTGTGTAATTTTCCTCTACTCCTGTAGTATAGTGTTTTTGTGTCGTAAGTTTATAAGCTTTGTTTTTTGCACAATCACAATCATACTGTCCATGTCATTTATTCATTTTCAGTTCTGGTATAACTTCCTTTGCAGTATCCTTATTTATTTTCTCAATCTGTTTCTAAGAAAAATCACCATTCTGTATTCACATTTCAGTAGCCTTTCTTTTAGTTTATTTCTATAGTCTTTTATCATGATAGGTTTGTGTAGTGTCAACATTCAAGATTTCATCTTTCTGTTGCCTGTTCCAAAACGTCTTACCCTTCCTCTCAGCTTGGAAATCAACGGAAAGTAATTAGAGTCAATATAAATAGCTTGGGCATAAAAACATCTTCACAATAATTTTTGTATCTTGTCTTTGCTACATACAGAAAAGGAAATAAAAAACTCATATTCTAGTAAGTTTTGCTGCTGTTAAACATTTCTTTCGGGTTGGCAAGAAAGTAGTTCTTTCCCCCACCCCCAATTTTTTCCAGCGCAAAAAAATTAACTTTAATCAGTCAGATACCTTCCATCCTGTTCGATGACCTTTTACCGTCTTTTTGATAACTTCATGATTTCATGCTGATAGAACTTCCGGAAGTTCAATTAAGTGTGATTACAGGCCATATTGTTACTGAAATTTTTACCATTTAAGAAATTTTGAAAACTTTAAAATAAATGATAAACCAATGGTGCAAAGAGGGGACTATATGAGAGATGCGACATCATTTCCCAACCAAGCTCCAGTAATTTCATGTGTGTTGCTAAAGATGTGCGAGGCCTCGCATTATTGTGATGAAACTTGATTCCTTTACCAATTATGAACTTTCCTCCAGTTTCATAAGTTGTTGACAGTAAACATCCTAATTGATAATTTGGTTGCTTGGAAGCAGCTCATAATGCACAGGACCTTTGTAATATCAGAATACACAGCATATCACCAATTGACAGCACGATCTTTTCTGATGCAGTTTAGCTTTCTGTATGATTTATGCTTATTAATCATGCTTGGACCATGACCTTTTACAATGACTCATCTGTAAAGAGTATGTGGCTCCTCTGCTCTGGTGTACAACTGCAATGTTCACAGGTCCTGTTCAACTGTGCTCTAACGTGCCATGGGGACAAAGAAATGCAAACCATTGGCCATGAGGTGTACAATCCATCTTCATGCAGTCAACACAACACAGTTTGGCGGGATATGGGCCATCCTGCAGCAGCAAAGAGATGCGACGCCTGCTGTCATGTTGTTAGTGATCTTCGGCGTCTTGCACATAGCAACAGGAAGTTATCGTCTGCCATTGTCGTAATCCTTTGATCCACACCCATGCCTTTTACAGGGTTTTTGATTACCTTTGGTAATGATTCCACAGCCAGTTTAACACTATGATGCACATTCAGTTCTCTCGCAGCAGCAGATAGTCTTGCATCAGCTTGAAACATCCCGACAGCCCTCCAACATATTTCATCATGCAAATGGCGTCTTCAGCTCATGCTTTCCTCTTTGGCTATCTTAGATTATGCAGAGCTATTGCTGCTTACAAAATGATGCATGGCTCAGTCATGTTCTTTTTTAAGGGATTGGGGTGGTGTGACTCTGGGATTGCATTTTATGTTAATTTTAGTTGCCTATTTGCATTTAATGATGCAACCTTTACCTTATATGTAAGTTGTATGTTTTAATTCCCCTCTTTACATTTATACCTTTTCTTTTAGCATTTGTTGCTTATTCTTTGAATATGAGTGTATTATATGTTTTATAAATATTTATCATTATGTATGTTGAAAACACATCAGCCTATAATAATTATTTAATACTGAAAGAGAAGTAGTCTGATTCAAGTATTAGTTTTTCTGTAGTACATAAAATTACTTTAGTTGTAAGTCAGTTGATAATTTGGCATATGTTCTCAGTTTAATAATATGTGATTGTTTATTCTTGGTTGTAATATCCCGAGGAAAATTTCTAGTATGAATATTTTCCATCTTCAAATATAGCAATTCTTTCTCTTTTACAAGTTTTACATTTTACAATGAAAGTACTTTTTTTTTAGCTGTGCCATGATCGAGGATATTTAGTTACTCAAGAGGAGTTGGATCAAACTCTAGATGAATTCAAAGCTCAGTATGGTGATAAACCTAGGTAATAATCTTACATTTTAGAGTGCTGTCTAAAAGTTTTTTGATGATTGAAGAAATTAATTTTAGAAGCAATATTTTTAATTGTTAAAATTATATTTTTACATAATTAATTTTTTAGTGGTTAATTCTTATGTTTGAAGTATGATTTATAGCTGATTTCTTATTAAATACTACATGTAAAATTTAATTAAAGTGAATAGTTTGGGGTAATAGCTCAAAATAATCATTGCAGTAAATATTTTAAAGCCAGTAGTGAAAAATCAAACGACAACTATGTTTGGAGCCTGGAAGAGTATACAAAGAATTTAGTTTTAGAAGCCAAGACAACTGAAAAAGGTCTTAGATACATGATTTTGAGTAAATTCAATTTATTACTTTTTTGAAATTATAAGTGGAAATTAATATTGCAGCTAATTTAATATAAAGTAAAATTCTCTTTGAATGTTTACAAGCAGTTGGCCTGATAGTTTGGAAGTATTTAAAAGATATTAATGTAAATCAAACTTTTTCATAAATTGCATTAAATAGATTTAAGTTATGAAGCAATTTCAATTGCTGAATTTTTTACATAAAAGTTAAAATTACTGTTAAATTTCTACAGTTTAAAGTTGAGCTAAGATTCTAAGGTTGTATTACAAATAAGTTCATTGCTTATTATTTTGAAAATAATTACAGAGGGTGTTTACACATTTTTAGAGTGATTTTGGGGAAATTTAATTAATGTTTAAAAAGGTAGAGATATTTTTTGTTTTTAATATTCGATCTGATAGCTTTTCTACTGGACTGTAAGTTTGCATTGTGATTTCCATGATAAAAAGGCTTTTCTATAATCTTCACGGATGTTAATTTCTATATCTCTTTCACTACTTTCTAGACTCGTTCAATCGTTGTGGGTTTGCGCTTAGGTAGAGCTCTTTCCAAGAGACCAAAGGTGCAGTAGTTCATAAATGAAACATCGGGGGACTCCGCAGGAATACGTTGAGAAAAGTATATGTGCAGAGCCTGTATCTTCATTTTTTTTTTCCAAGAATAGCAGTGGTACTTTTCAAAGTATGACTTGCCGCTTTGTCTTAATGAAGTTTCACTCTTTTAAAGATTTTGGGATAAAGAAATGGAATTTCTTCTGTAAATATTGGACGTGAAACTTTCTCTTGATAGCACAATGAGTAGATTTTAACATTTGTTTTCATTTTTCTTATTTTTAATTTCCCTTTATAAAAGAATCCTGTGACAATCATAAACCCCTTACTGAAACTTTCTTTGATGATGGAGCCAGGTTTGTATATTATTTTCTCTTTGTTTTTGATAATAAGTAGACCTTTTTTTTGTTCCAGTAGTTAAGATAAATCCATTCTTCGCCAAAGGGTCGCAATGTATTTCCATTCATCTATGGCTAAACAGCTTTCCTACAGGGTTTTAAAAAATTATTGTGCTATACCTCAGCAAAAGTTTGTGAACATTATGTTTTTTAGTCTTTTTAAATTAAGTCTTTGTTTATTATTTTATATTTAAAGAGTATGCAATTGATTTCCCATCAATGGATTTTCTCTTCCCATAGATTCAATGTTATAAGATATTTATGTTAATTAACCAGTTATTTTATGTTATGAATGTGCACTGTCACTTCTCTGTTTCCAGTTTCCTGTCAGAATGCAAATTAGCTCATGAGTATGTAAGTAAGGATTTGAGATTTTTTTTAGTCAATGCGTATTCTGGCTGCTGAAGGCCGTGTTACTGGTTGTTATTCTATGATAAGCATTCCTGTGTATAGTATTGCTTTATTTTTACTAATAGTGCTGTCATGCTGGTGTAGGTTAAGAGCTAACTTGTGCATTCAAATATCTGTGCATAACCTTTGGCTAATAGCTACTTAGAATTTTCAGTTTTAAATACTGCTTTTGAATTTATGCCATAAAGGTTGGTTGATTCATAAACATCAAATGTACCTTCTGTTCACCTTACTTAGTTTTAACTAAGAGGGTCTTTTACACCCTTCTTACATTTCTGTTTGCTTATCTAGACATAGTGATTAAGTCTAACGAGAAGTCTTAGCTTAGGTTATGTTACCAAAACACATGAGATTCTAGAACTTTAGAAGCAGTATGTACCTTTTTCAGGTGTTTGTTTGGAGTCTTCTTTCCATGCAGAAGGAATGATTGACAATTTTTCCCTTTATGAAAAATAATGTTGCTTATTTTGCACATAGAAATTTGAATACCATGCGTTTCATAGCATTTTTTAATTGTAAAATAGGAATATTTCTCTTCAAAAAGCACAAAAACATATCCTTACAGCTTGTGACATTTTGAAAAAAGAATAAATTTAAAAGAAGTAGGCAATATTTGCCATTTCAGGTAATGCACTTTTGCAAGGAATTTTAATTTCCAAAATATTTGTTTTTTAATTTTTCTTTATCAAAATCATTCTAAAAATGAATAAACACCCTCTTTATTTATTTACCGCTCCCTCCCAGGAGTACAAATCTGGCTAGTGCATTTGCAAAGTTATCAATAATGCCTTTGTAATTTACATAAGTGTTCCAAATTTTCTACAGTAGTAGTTGATACAAACAGAGCAGTTAATACTGCTCTGTAAATAGAAATCTTGATTCAGTCTTATGTTTAGTCGACTGTTATCAAGATTTTTTGGAAAACTTCCATGCTCATTTTCCTACAGAATGTATATTTATTCTGAATTACTTTACACATTTACTCTTAAAATTATCACAGCTGTCTTATCTGAAAGATCGGTCTTTTTATGAAATTCTGGAGAAACATGTTGCTGTGGTTCAGTGGTTTATGAAATAGAAAAACGTTTATTCATGCAATTGTAAGATCTCTTCGTCATTGCTAATTAAATAAGATGTTTTCATTATTACTTAAGCATTTATGCTTTTCTTCACTTTTGGATGAGACCAGAGCTCTATCAACCTTCTTCCCAAGTATATCCTTGAGAGCATGGCTGATATCTTATCATCCATCATCTTGAAACTTATCATCCATCATCCATGTAAGGAATTTAACTACTTTTGGCAAATGAAAATATTTTGTTTAGATTGGCTATTGGTATAATTAATTTCATAAGCTAAGAATTTTAATAGAGGAGAGAGGCTTTAGGTTTATATTCATTTCATTCTCTTGACTAACCTCTGGGTATTTCTTATATGTTTTTAATAAATGTATTTTCTCATTTCTTTCTGTCTCTCAGCTCTTGAACTCATTTACTGTGATAGTAAGTTAGAAGTACGTTTTTGGGCTTACCTTTATTAGATCCATTTGCTGGCATTATTTTAATATTTTTCATTACATTTTCAGTGTAGCAGATGTGTAATACCTAGCAAATTCTGTGGCACTGCAGCTGAAATGGAACATTTCAGATAAAAATTTTACAGGAATATTTAAAGGAATTAAAATAAGCTTTATAAGCATGCAGTTCTTATTCCCTCTAATCATGACATATTTTCCAAAAAATTTCTTACCAGTTTCTGCAGCTTTATTATCTTGTCTGTGCTGAATCCTTCAAGTTCAAAGTGAACAGCAAACTTGTGTTTCCACAGCGTATTCACTTCCACTTGCACAGCAGCTTTCTGAAAATTAATTTTTGCCTCCTGTGGCAAATCCATCTCTTGAATTTATATCAACATGTAGATCAGTGCTCCGCAACCTTTTCTCACCTGCGATGCACTTTCGTGGCACACCAAAAGCTAATGTATATATGTATTGATTTATACACAAAATTTACAATAAATTTTTGTTTTTAATTTGAAAAATATACAATTATAAAACCATAACATATTTATTTATATGCAATCATAATAATTATCAATGTGATACCTGCGCTTAAAAAAAGTTATATATTTTTGAGTTCCGAGTTATCAAGGAAGTGCCGAAAAAATTCAAATGCTGACACACAACAGTGAAATATATAAAAACATTTAAAATAGACATTATTAAGGAAAACAAATTGTCATGGCACACCGGTTGCGGAGCACTGCTGTAGATCTTCCAATGGGGGAAAAAAAAAACACCTCCTGGTGTTTATTTTTTGTCTGCATGTGTAAGGTTACTGTCCATATGATATCACACTGTTTGCCTTGGGCCGCAATTAGTCTTCTTGCAACACCAAGCACTCTATAATGTGTAAAGTTTTTCTTTAAAAAATTTTCTGCCAATCAACTACTTTGTATCCCTGTGTCTTTTGTCTGTATACATATGCTGGTACATTATTTAACAGAATTTGAATCAGTGGGAGGGACAAAAGTTTTATTGACATTGTATTTAATTGAATCTGAGAGCCCGTTCCTTGGGCGTACTGTACTCTTGACTACTAAAGTTAAGTTCTTGGTATTTTCTTCGATTTCCTATTTTGTGATTTGTTTTGATTATCACCATTTGCAGGTGAAATTCTTAGAGTTATCAAAGTGTCTGCTGTCGCCAAACCTTTGGGTTCCTTCCTCTAGAAATCTATGGAAGTATTCATTCAACCTCTGATTGTGTGTGTGTTCATTGATTCTTTCTTATTTTTGAGCTAAATATTATTACAAATAACTGTTCTAGTGTACTCGGGTTTCATAATTTCACAAAATCATGAAATTGAGGCAATGGTCTAGGAAGTATTATTTGTATAATACTTCCTAGACCATTGCCTCAATTTCATTGTATTTTATTGTATGGGGAAAAGCCTTTTGCATCAGGCTTTTCCCCCATACAATAAGTACACTACTCATATTTTCTCAATATAAACTCCCTTAACTCTTCTACCTTAATTTGATACATACCAAAGAGTTCTGCTTCTGATTTTGGCCTACCTTTCATCACTGGGAATGCTTTCACAAAAGTGGTTTTAAAATTTTGAACTTATAATTCTCATTACCTGGTTAATACAACAAAAATTTACCAGTGCCTTTCTACCAGCTCAATGCCTCAGAGCATGGCAGTTGCTATTGTGACTTTCTGTAATTCTGCAGCTGGTTGAAGTAAAAAGTGCATCTCTTAAGTGTTCTAAAAATATCACTCTGTAATTTGTATGATCAAGTGTAATAGTTTGTTTCAATGAAGCTCGTGTATTGTCAAAGATGAATATTGAGGCAATTACTGAAATTAGGCATAACTTAGATGAAGGCATAGCTTGTGTTGAAGGCATGTAGTGATAAAATTTGTTGCTTTGTCTTGTGACATGATCTGCAGTTTGTTCGGACACCACTTATAGGTTTATATATGATGTGGTAATGCTATTTTAGTCTTAATAACCCTAACAGATGGGAAGTGAAGTATTACTATGTCTTGAGAACAAAGATAGGGTTTTGAGAAAGTTAAACTAAACTTTTTATTTAAATGTAACCTAGGATGTAAAAGCAGTCTCTTGTCTACACTTTCCACAACACATTATGATGCAAAATAAAATAATAACAGACCAATTTAATTCAAATGTTGGACTGGTACTCTAGGACTACGCATAGATACAACTCAGACTGGTTAACTTACTCTACCAGAGCGTCAGAATTAAAATTCCGGCAACGAGCGAATGCAAAGCCAAATAATTGCAATTATCAGAGCTGTCAGGAAACTAACAAAGTAGCATGCATGCAATGCCAGAAACACATCCTGTCTTAACTAGATCACCATTTGCCCCAAGAGATATACGTTCACAGGAAATACATTATCATCCGTTAATAACGGCAGACTCTCATTGGGGTAAAATGTGGGCTAGACCATAACTTCCAAGACACATTCGTCGCAGCATGTTTTTCCAGCCTCCCAGTATGAGTCAAAAATGAAAAGGGGTGATTGACGGGTTATTTAGTCACACTTATCTTCTCCGCGGTATTCCATTAGGATCACAGTGGGGCTGTTTCAGCAAAGTAAAGGATGGGGGATCATTTTCGTCGAGTGGATACCCCCTCAATACGAGCAAGATCCACAACAGCTTTCTCCCGTACAAAGAGATCTAAAAGTTCTTAATGCTATCTTTTCAATTCCTAACGATTCTCTGAGGATGCATCATGACTATGTTGCGCCAATTATGAATGACACTGTTAAACTGAAATTTTTGAAGTTACAGTTAATTTTTCAAAACTTGAACTATTAATGTTTTTTTAATCAATATCTTTTTTTTAAATCTCATTAATTGAGAAAGCTACAGCATTAAAAGCTTGGAAATTTTGAAAGAAACAACAGTAATATATGAAATTTGGATTGCCGTATAGTTTCTAAATCTATAATTATATTTTGCGCAAAACATTTTCGATAATATGAACTTTTTTGGTTCGAAAATAGTTATCTGCCATTTTTTAGAGCAGACAAATTTATATACTATCAAGTGGTAGAAATGGCCGGTATACCTTCATTTGCAAAAAATACTGATACAAAATTTTATAAAATTTTCATTTATATTGTAAGAATCTTAAAAACAATTAGTAATCATATTTCATAAACAAAACCTCATAATATATCTTTACATTACAAAAATTTATTTTGCAATTGCAATTTTAATTTCTTTAAGTAGAACTAGATGTACCTTCATTGTAAAGTTGTATAGAAGTATGTAAATAAGAATAAAGTTTTGGTATTTTAAAATTAAATTTGTTATATGTTGTTCCCGTTACTTATTTAACACTTACAGAATTACATTAGCGGTTAAAATTTAGCATTCAAAATTTTAATGTATTTAAATTCTAAGTACAAAGTGGGAAACTCAATTTTATATGTTATTATATCATTTAAAATATACGAGCTGCAATGCGAGTGCTTCATATTTTTAATCCACATATACCCAAAACCTTAAGAAATAAGTTTAAATAAGTATTTAAGTTTGCTTAACCTAATTTTAAGGACACTGAAAAGTTTTTATGAGGTTAGTCTTGGAAGATACTATTCTTGAAGCCATTTACTTTTATGAGGCTAGAATAAGAATATTAATGGAATTATAAAGATAGTTGCAACAATTGCAATTTAAAAAATTAAAAATGGTCAAAAATTTGCTGCTTAATTTTATTATGAATAATGTTGAATTTTCAGTCCCCCCCTTTTTTTCCTTAAATGTCACTTTTCTAGTAATCTATGCAACAAGAGTAATACAAACAGTTACCACCTTCTTACTCTTTGAAATTGGCACTTCGCTTAAGTAAAACTTTTTTTGCTGTAGGAAAAATACAGTAAGCTAAAAAATCTCTAAATAATTCCAATTTTAAATAAGAACCTTAAATAGCAAAGCTAAAGGAAGATTTTTTTCTCATAAAGAAAATAAACCTTTTAATTAAATATATAAAAATGTAAGGGAAATAATTCGATTACTATTTTTGTTACAGTTCATCAAGAAAATAAAAAAATAAAATTCAAACATACTTCAAATAGGCAATATTAGCTAATTCTCTTATTTTTACTTTAAATAAAGCTTTTACTTGACAATTAAAAACTACATTTACATTGTAATAGATTTGGGATTGGGTGCAAGAAGTGAGGTTAAAGAGAAAACTATTTTCTCTAAGGGATACACCAGCCTTTGTGTTTTATCGTCCTCGTTAAAGGGTCGTTATTCAGCATCCTTCATTGCGACAGCTACGCAGTTCAATCTGATTTAAATAAAACTTCTAAATAGGTAGCATATTCACAGCTGGTGAAAGAGGGAAAGAAATACTCTGAGGCCAGTTTTTAGACACAAAAAGTTCATCTTTGGAAGAGTAAAATGCCATGAAATGTTTGGGATTTTCAGAACGGCGAAATGGTTAAAATCAAAATCTTCATTTTAACTTGCTACTTATTTGCATTTTGGTGAGGAATACACAAAGAAGGATTTATAATAAAGGCTGAAATTTAAAATATTTTGTTAACATAAAATTCCTCTTAAATATTTTATTTCAGGTATTTTTATTACTTGGAATTAACTTAAGAAGATAAAGGGCAGAGTTTTGATATTTTTCTTTAAAACTAGGGTTATTATTTTTTAATTATGTGCTGAAAAAAATACCATGTTAAATATTATGTATTTTTTCACAATTGTAGTGAAAGAAAGCCTGCAAGAAGTGATCTCATAGTTCTTGTGGCCCACAATGATGATCCAACTGGTATGGCATTTTGTTTAGATTGCTTGTTGTGTAATATATATAAGTACATAGAAACAGTGATTTATAATTTTTGATATCATTTTGAAGAAGTATAATTCTTCGGGGTAACTTGTCTCTTCATATTATTAATAGAGGAATATGAGAGATCAGATGATCACTCAATGAGATTGCAGTTGTTTTCAAGAAATGTGTTCCCATAATTCCAAGTAGATGTATTCAGATTTTTGTGAAATAACGCGGAGATGATCTGTAAATGCATTATGCTTCTTAAAAGTGTATTATAGTTTCACAAAATGGATATGATTAAGTAGCTACTTCTTAGTTTATCAGCAGTTTATAGTAAATACCCATATTTATGCATAATTTTTCATTAGAAAAATATCTTAGTTAAGGAGTATTGATTTTAAAGGAAGTATTACTTTTAAACTAAATTAATTAAAAATAATATCTGCTATGAAATTAATTACAACTATTATTCTAAATTTTGGAATATTAGTTATTATAATTTGGAGCCTTTAAAATTCAGCATATGAAAGGGGGGAAGAAAGTCTCCCTTATGAAATAAGCTATTTAAATAACCTACGTATGGGTAGTTACTAAAGGTTGCTTAATTTTTATTGAAGCAAAAAACATGGGATTCAATTTCTAAACCTCTCGATTTGTCTTGCAGTCAGACATGCTTCCAATTACACAGTGAAGGCTTGTGGTAAAGAAGGACAAAAATCCTTTACATTTTACTGTACTTAAATGGTCACTAGAGAGGTGTGGCCTTGGTTGCCAAACCAAACTGATGACAAATTATTATCCACCAAATTTTAGTTCAGGTACCATTTGTAGCATCATAAGATTTTTACCGGAGTAAGAAACAGAAAAAATGAGTAATGCCCTCACTAGAATTCAAACCCCAGACCTCCCTATTGCATGCTTCCAGTTACACAACGAAGACATATGGTAAGGAAGCAGGAAGAACCCTTACTAAATACAGTCAAAAGTTGTTAATTCGGACACCCATAATCCGGAATGATCTATAATCTGGACCTCAAAGCTACAAACTTTCTGCGCATGCGTCGCGTTCATGCATGCGCACAGGCGTTTACGAGTGCACGTAAGACCTTTACGTCTGCGAATATGCGTGTGCGCATGCGCGTTTAATGTGTAATGGACGGTATAAGCTAAGCTAAAATTATCTAATTCAGTTAATGTTGCAGATTGCGTTGTTCCTTAATCTTCGAATTGGATCCGGCTTATTATTTTTTGCAGACTGTTAGAGCAATTTTATAAAAGTAAGCTTGAACTTTCGATTATGTCAAATAGAATTTCCGATATACATTTACTAATATGTAAAGGATCTACAAAGCGTCCGGTCAAGTGATCAGCGTCCGGCATTTAGATTGGTCGAGGAGTCAGAGTTCGAAAAATGAAGTATGTTTCGAAATCTGAAATCTGTTTATCAATTTCACGCTGCGGCGCGCAATGAATTGGAAGTTGATCTGTCAGCACTATCCTTATCTTCAGGGCAGATGTTTTTATTTTATTTGGCTTACAAATCCTTACTAAATGTAGTATTTCATCTCAATGTACTCTATCTTTGATATGATTTAAATCAAGTTCCTCGTCATTATAATTCGCTTCCGATAGTGAAGAAAGTGACCCAGAGGTTATTGAAAATGAAAAAATGTCTATTGACAAATTAGTCGGTATTCTCAACACAGCAATTATAGGACTTGAACAGCGGAACTTTGTAACTAAACAAGAAATTATGTCTGTTTAATAGAATTAAAGAGAAAGTATTATCACATGAAACGAAGCAACTTAAACAACTTACATTGAAGACTGTTTAATAAAGTAAACAAATAAATATTAAGCTTTTTCTTTTTGTAAATTTTGATACCCTTTAGATCATAATTGTTCTTTATTTCATAAATTACGGTTTCATATTTTTAATTTTGTAATTTCTGCATGCCATCTTACCAGATTTAAACTGATGATCGATAATCCGGAATCGCCGAAGTCCCGTTGTGTCCGGATTAACGACTTTTGACTGTAATGTATGAATAGGTATTAAAGTGTTTCGTCAATTCTAGAATTCAAACCCCAGACCTTCTTATTGTGTGCTTCCAGTTACACCACGAAAATATATGGTAAGGAAGCGGGAAGAACCCTTACTAAATAATGTATGGATAGGTATTAAAGTGTTTCTTGATAGAACCACCTATTATAAATTTTAAGTCTTAACAGAAATTTTAAGTGTATAATTGGTGAGATTTCAAAAAATTCCAAATGCTTTTGTAACATAGAATGAACTCTAATAAAGATGTAATGTATAATTTCACCGTAATTACATTCTCTGACAAAGTTCTGCAGAATTGCTGAGAAGAAAAGAAAAATCTCAAGAGCAAGAAAACTGAATTGGGAACTATATGAAAAGTAATTTTTTGACATTGAGCGTAAAGAGAAAAGGAAGTTTTTATAGATGCAATATTTAAGAAAAGATAGTGAATCGCTATAATGGACAGAGTAACGAGATCCTAGTGATATATCTGGAAATCTTATGAGGATTACATAGATCTGATTAATTTAAAAAAAACTAATGTATTAACACATACATGCCTTGGTCCCAATTTGAGGACCAAGAAAGTTTTTAATGTTACTGTAGTATCCGATGACTGGTTGGCGATTAACAAGGTGTGTCTGGCGCGTTTCGCCTCTTCTCCCAAAAGGCTGCTAGATTTAAAGTCTTGGATCTTGGATCATATCTTTACTGCTGGCTTTAGCTACTAGGAGCTCTTACCAGTATATTATCATTTTACCATAGGCCATAAAGTTAAAAATTTAAGAGGTGTATTTAAAATACACCGCGCCCGAAGGCGAGATCAATAAATGAGAGAACTCATAAAATAAGTTTTGCTAAATTGCATATCATGGCATAGCATGGGTGATTATATACGTAAATGGTGGCGAGAAGCGAAATGAAAGTCTAAGCTTCTGCGTGAGTCAAGAAGAGCAGGAACACGTGATCAGCGTCCGGCATTTAGATTGGTCGAGGAGTCAGAGTTCGAAAAATGAAGTTTTTGTAGTTTTTGGCAATAAATAAAGTTCGAACATAGTAAAAGCAACATCTATTTGTGAATTTAAGAGTCTTATGTCTTTTGAAACACTGGAAAATCTCTAAACTTGCGATATGATCATTAAATGAATAGGAAACTGTAAAAGGCGAAAATGAGGTCATGTAGCTCACTAGGGCTAATGAGTGAGAGTAAGCACTTGGTGTTACCACGAACTTTGATTTTAAAACACAAGATACGAAATAGTAAAAATAAAAAGTAAAAATCTTGGTTAAATAAGTAGTAAAACGAAGAATTCATTGATGAAAAATAAAGTCCTAATTTTGCAAAGTTCATCTTTCTTGAATAGTAACTGCAAAAGAAAAGTAATTTTATTATATATATATATATATATATATATACATTATATACACTACCACCACTTAGAATTGTGGTGGATCGTTCGAGGTCTTTTCACTACGTTCTCAATAGTAGGGTCATAGTCTGTAAGCGATTTAATAGCTTCCTTCATAGGGAGAATTTCTCATATCTTCAAAGAAGTTGTCTGTGCAGAAATTAGGATTTGGTCGTGAATTGGGATTGATATCCAGGTCTTTGTGAATTTGAGAATGTTCGCACGAACCAGGGTGCGTTCACTATGCTACGTAAGATTTGTTTTGAAGTACATTTAATTTTTGTCTGTCTATTTTTCGGGCAGTAGCCCAGGCTGGAACTGCATAGAGGATTATTGGTTGAATAAGTGAGATGTAGATATTTTTCTTGGTACGGAGGTTTAACTTAGAGTTTCTTCCAATTAATGAGTAGAGAGCAATGAAAGCAGCGTTAGCCTTATTTGTAACATATTGAATATGATCTTTGAAATTTAGGGTTTTGTCAATATAGACGCCTAAATATTTATAGGAGTTGGCAACAGGAATATCTTGGTTATTGAGTCGGATATTTATATTCACTGGGATATTTTTTCTGTATCTGCGAAAGAGAACTACGCAGCATTTATCAGTATTTAGTTTGATTTTCCAGTCTTGACAAAATTTGTTAATAATGTTGACTTGGAGCTGAAGTTTCTCTAAAGCATTATTTGGACTTCGTGAACTGGTGAGGATGACTGTGTCGTCGGCATATTTGAGTATATTAGAATGAAAAGGTAGAGGCATATCATTTATGAATATTATAAAAAGCTTCGGTCCTAAAACACTGCCTTGAGCTACTCCACTGTAAATCACTTTTTTTGAAGAGATTGCTTCACCACAGCGCACTTGAAAAGTACGATGTTTAAAATAAGAATGCATAAGCTTAATAAAGCTGTTTGGTAAAAGGAAGTTAGATAGCTTTATGAAGTAAGCCAGCATGCCACACTCGATCGAAAGCTTTTTCGAAATTCGAGGAAGCATGCCGCTACTCCGTTCTTTTTTGTAAATTCTTGGGCAATAAATTCAACTAAATTTAATATTTGATGTGTGGTATTGTGGCCTTTGCGGAATCCAAATTGATGCTTGTCTATTAGATTAAGGCGTTCTAGATGATTGGTGAGCCGAGCACTAAGTACTCGTTCGAAAACTTTTCCAAGCGCTGGCAGAAGACTGATGGGTCTGTAATTTTTTGCTAGCTTTGGATCTTTTCCTGGTTTCGGGATCGTAACAATGATCGAATGTTTCCACTGCGATGGAAAGTAGGTGAGTCTAATACAAGCATTAAAAATATTTGTAATTAAGACTATGCATCTTCTAGGTAAAGCTTGCAATGCTTCATTAGAAATCATGTCATATCCTTTAGCTTTGCGCTTCTTTAATTTTTTAATAATTTTGCTGAACTTCGTTTGGAGATGCAGCGTAAAAAAATTAATGCTGGGACTGTTGAGGATGCTATTGACAGAGTAATTAATATCTTTTTCGTGATCAGAATTTTTATTTTCATGTTGTTTAAAAATGTTTTCTAATTCTTTTGCATGAATTTCAGCTATGGAGTCTTCGGAGTGGTGAATTTTGCCCATGTGATACAGGGGGTGAATTTGATTAGGGTGATTTGAAAGATTAGATCTGAGTGATTTAGCTACTTTCCAAACAGAGAGTTTGGGTAAAGATCCATGTTTTCTAGGAAATTATCCCACGAATTTGATCGATGGGTGGCGATGTCTTCTTTTATTTTTCTGTTTAAATAATTAATATGACGTTTTTCAGTAGGATTGTGAGTAATATGCCATCTTTTTCCTAAGTCTATTTCTTTCTTGTATAAGGGATTTAATTTCTTCTGGGATGCCATAGGGATTTTTATTCTTGACTGTATAGGTAGCATTATTGATAGCGTTTTGAAATTTTGGAGTTTAATCTGGTGATTTCCAGCTCAATATCGCAGTCGATAACGAAGTGTGGCTCTGCTGTTTACAGAATTTAGCTGTTCGGTAACCATATACCAATTAACTTTTGTATGAGCTTTAGGGAGAGGGGGATAAAATCCATAAGAAGTTGGAAGACTATAGGGAGATGGTCAGACGAAAGTTTCTGGGAGAACATCAAGATTAGGAATATAGGAAGGTTTTTCATCAAAACTATATCTAAAATATAACCTAGTCCGTTGTGCGTATAGTGCGTTGGGTGATTGGCGAGCAATGAGATTGATGTTACTATTGTGGATGAAGTTGTTTAAATTTTCTCCATTTCTATTTGTGACTCTACAGTTCCAAGAGGAATGTTTAGCATTTAAATCACCTGCTATTAAGGTGGGGTAGTTATTTTCAGTAAGTAGTTTCAGATTATTGAGATCAAGAGTGCTTGAGGGGGGATTGTAGACGGAGATAAAAAGAAAAGGTTTCTTCTAAAACCACTATAGATAAGTACTGCAGCATTTTCTATAGTACAAGCAGGGTTTTAAATCATATTTGGCTGTTTTGATATGTTTTTAATGAGAATTGCGTTTCCTCCTCCTCTATTATGTCTTCTGTCTTTTCTGTAGATTGCGGTAGCCTTGTATTTTAAATTTGTCGCAAGAGCGGAGATGGGTTTCATTTACTAGCATAACATCAATGTTATGTATAGTAAGAAAATTTGAAATTTCCACTTGTTGGTATCTGATGCCGTTTGCATTATAGTAACAAATCTTTAAGAAGCTATTTGTAGTTGAGATAAAATTTATTTGACTATGAGTTTGATTAAAATTCATAGTTTAGGATTTGAGAAATATTCGAAGGCCGCCATACCGACCTCTAGTTTGTCAAATATTGTTTTTGCTGTTTTAAATTTCTGGAAGAATTCTTTAACTTGAGTGAATTGGATTTTTATCCAGTTCAAAAAAGCCAAGTGGGTTTGAGTTTGCGTCTTCTGTTTTACTATTGTTTTCATTTTCCTATGGAAGTATTCCATGCATTTTTTGGTTTGTTCTCAGGGAGTGAAGGAAAATCCTTTTTGTTAAATTTAAATTGTTCTTTTTCTTTTCTGCTTTTGAAAGCTTTAAGATTCTTCGATTTGCTTCTGAACATTATAAGGATGTTTACTGCAACCTTTGAAGGAAGAAACGTGATTTTGCCCACAGAGGGCACAGACACGGGGTTTGTTGTCATTTTTTTGTTTGTTTACAAGTGAATGTTTCATGAGGCTCTGCACATTATAAACAGCGAGGTTTATAGTGACATTTGTTCCCGTGTGTGCCCGTACCTTTGTCACTTATGGCACTGCACGGGTCCAGGGCGAGCTTTAAAAGGCTCGATAAAGACATCCAGACCTCTGAGTTTCTTTTAGATCATATATTCTTTTACCTTCTTTATTTCTAGTACATTCTGCTATAAAAACAGGAAGATGAACTTATCTTTCCTTCAATAGTGTGAATTACTTGTCGAATTTTTTTGAATTGGGATATCTTCTTGGGCAATTTCGTTTTTGATTAGTTCCATATTAGCTGTTTTTGGAATTTTTTTAATTATTGCCTTGATAGGCTTTTCACTGTTGAGTTTAATAAGTATGAAAAGGAATAATGTAGTTTAGTTAGGTATTCAGTAACTGTGCGGTAGTGGTCTGAGTCTAAACTCTTATGGTCAGTATACCTCCACTTAGGTTTCCACGATATTTTTTATATTTAATTGCTCTTCAAAATCTTCTTTCATCTTATCCCAATCCCCCGTGAAGTCTGCTAAGACTATAGGGGGAATGTGTCCTGCTTTTTGTTGGGTGTAATAAATTCACCTTCCTCTGCTTCCATATTGTCTTCAGGGTTTAGTTCCTCGAATTTATTTTTATGAGCTGGTTTCTTCAATTTCGGAATTTGATGGAGTTCTTTTTATGAGTTTTTCTAGGGTTTATGTATCCTTCTTTATCTATTGTGGTTTTCTTTTTGATTCTAGATTTTTGACTAGCAGTAATATCAGATGATTTGTTTCCTCTGTTGGATTATTTAGGGTTTCTTTTTGTTTTCATTTCATTAATGTATAATTCTAAGATTTGTATATCCTTTTCCATAGCATTGACGTGGGCTAAGTGAACTTCAGTCGCATTTTTTGGATTAAATGAATTTTGATAAGCATGAAACTCAGAAAGCATAAGTTGCTTACGTTTTTCTAAGTTATCGCAGGTAACTTCCAGAGTTCTGTGATCACACACAGATTTGATACGGTTTTCAATCGCCTCCTTGTCCATGATATGCATGAATCCTAACTTTTAACCTAATGGCGAAAAGAATAAAGAAAACATACTTATCGTGAACATCAAGAAGAGATGACAGCAGCTCAGGATCAGCTTCAGTAGTGAGAGCAATGTCATTTTCCCTTACTTCACAAAAACGCAGGAAAAGCAACGCCATAGACAGAAAGAACAATTTCTTTAATCAACAGCAACACCTCATGCCAGCACTACCAAGCTGAATGTTCGACGCAAAGGAGCGATGGTGCTCGTTTTTTCTATGTTGTAGAAGCGATGTTTTGCTCTGAGTTAAATTATGTACTTTAAAGTTATTTCAAATGGTGCCTTCTTAACCATGAAAATATTAGTTACTCACCTCCTAATTTCTAATTTTTCTTTTCTTTTTAAAGTTATGTGCTTAAATCATACTCTTAACTTAATGTATATAGTTTACACATTTTTAGTTTGATATAAAATTATATGTATATAAATATTTGTTTCGAAAGTTTGCTTGTAAATGATGTTTTTTCATATTGTTATATTTGCTTAGTGAATATCTGATAGTTGATATTGAAATGAAATATTTTTCTTATAGAAGTTATGTGTGCATATGTGTTCTGAATAACATATCAAAATTGAGCAAATTGTTTACTTTACCACTTCAAAATACAATGATGCAAATTTGGAGTTCAAGGCTATTCTAGTGTAAAATGATTTCCTATTTACGCAAAAAAGAGAACATCAATCTTCATTCCAATTATCAGTTGCTCCCTGATGTTTCGATCAGGTGATTTGGAAACACACTTGTACCTAATAATTGTGATGGCTAGGTTAATTCTTTTCGTTCATTCAGCAAAAGAATTTTGATAACTTTTTGGACAAATGGGCATGAACTCTTTGCTGAGAAATTGTTTCATCTAGAGATCTTTGAATTATAAGAGAACAACATGGTTGGATTTTCATAATTGACTTATAATTTGTATTATAAATATTTTTTTTGTTTTACTCAGTTTGAATGACTTGAAACAAATTCCGAATGCGAGAATTTAAGAATGTTTGGTTGGTTGGTATATTATGGCAAAGCATAGGAGGGCTATCTGCCTAAGAGGGGATGCCTTCATGATAGATTTTCTAAGGGATCCGTTTGCACATGTTGTAAAACCACGAAAACATCTGCAGCCAGCCTGTTTGCTGGAATTTCAACTATGGACTAAACTTACCAGTATTAGCAACCTTACCACTCGGTCGTTAATGGGCTGAAAGAATACTGGAACAATGACCTTAATCTGGCAGATGAAGACTCTCATGGTACCATTGACATAGTTAAATTACCACCAGATACAGCTGATGATGTGTCCGATTTGGAAGATACAGACCGGACAACACTACAGACTGGAATTCCAGCGTGAGTTCATTGCGCACTAAATTGTCAATCACCGAATTTGCATATTTCCATCGCTGACATTTGTGTGGAAGTGCAATTTTGTGTTCAATGGTATTTGATTAACATAAATAATTACAGCAAATGGCACTGGTTATAACGTTAACGTTTTCTCATTATCCTTTAATTTTGATGACTAGCGTATAAATTGCAATTTATGGTAGAAATACCAAATGAATACAAACAGAATTTTCCAGTTTAAAATTTTAAAAAAGTCATTTTTTACAACTTGAATATTGAAAGCCTATATTTAATATTATCTATGATTTAGGATGGGGAATAAATTCTTGGCATAAAAGATGTATTTTTGTAGGCCTTAAACCCAGAAAAGTAAAACATCTTATTCCATTATGAACGTTGACCATGAAAACTGGCAGAGATCACATCAAACTTACACCAGTTATTCTTGCAGAAGTTGTAAAACACTGAACAACTCTCTCTTTTTTTAATTATTTTCTAAAATTATAAAATATTCCAATTGGCTGAATGCCCGGTAGTCGGGCTTTTACTGCACTATGGTTGCACTTGAGAGGTGTCAATTTTTCATGAAAAGATATCTTTAGTAAAGGAAAGAAAAATATTGTTCACTATTGTAAAATTATCATTTTATGTGTTATTACATTAATTGTAGCTTTTGACTGTGCCTAGTCCATAAATGCCGAAGGGGAAAAGATGTACCGTATACTGCAGGAGAGAAACCTGTGGGGGTTAGAGAATAACTGTAGCACATAATAGCAAAACTAAAATTATTTGTATATGTTTAATGTTACAATATATACTATACTATGTTAAATTAATAATTCAGAAATTTTCATAATTTTCTTAATTATTTTAAATAGATCAAATGTTTGTATTTTTTCCGGATGAACCAAAAATTGGTATTAAAACGATCAAAACATATTGCCAAAGAATGCAGGAAGAAAATATATCAAGGGCCATAATTGTGGTGCAGCATGGAATGACACCATCTGCCAAACAAGTGAGTCATTTTTTTCCTTTTAATATACATAGTCTAAAAGTGTGAATTCTTAATTTATGTATATCATTTGTTTTGCAGGCTTTAGTGGATATGGCCCCAAAGTATATTCTAGAGCATTTTCTTGAATCTGAATTATTGATTAACATAACTGAACATGAGGTAAGCTTAAGCTTAATTCAGAAATTTTGAAAAAATTAATACTTTTTTGCCATGTAATATTGCTTTTCAAATTTATTTAAATTTATCTAAATTTATCACAGTTATTAATGAAAATTTATTATTCAATTTTTTTATTGCAATTATTTTGCTTTCATATTTTTTTAGTTAGTTCCTGAACATGTTGTTATGACACCAGAAGAAAAAACTGAACTTCTGAATAGATAGTATCCTTTCAATAATGTGATTTTTCATTTTTTTTCATTTTTTCTTTTATATGTATCGCTTTCTAATTCTTAGAAAAAGTACCACTTACAGATCATATTAATAGTCTTTACACAATAGTATAACATTAATAGATCATATTAATAGTCTTTATACAATAGTATAAGAGATCATATTAATAATCTTTCATAAAAATGCATTTATGCATTTTTTTGCTTTAACCCTTTCAGGACGGGCATCCCATATACGCATTCCCTAAGAACGTCTCTTACAGCCGGGTGTCCCATCCACGCATCACTAGAGATTGCATTCAGAGGGCGGGAAGTGTATATACGCATTTTAAGCTGGAATGTTTTTCTGAAGGCCACTAATGGCATTCTGTGTCCATTACGTTTGAAATGAACACAGTTTTAGGTTCCTGATCTCGAGTGTGATATATTCTGTCTGACTTTGGTATTTTACTCATTAAGTGTTGCGAGGGTGGGCGGGGAACGGAAAGCATAAACAAAGGTTGGGCGCTTTAAATCACTGCGTGCTAATATAAATATTCGCGTGTCTGATTTATATCCAATTACTTTTTTTATTCTATTTTTTTCATCTACTATATACAGTCTCTTTGAGTTACTAGACAGCCCAGTCATTTTTGCATTGCCTTCAGATACATTTCTGTTTCTTCTCTTTTTATTTCGAAAAGCCTCACCTCCAGTCTATTATGGCAGGAAGGCCCTATTTATTAGGGGAAGAATACCCTTGTATGGTTAATGAACCATTTACTAATGCAGATAAGAGTGATGATTCTTTTTCTAAAGAGTTAGAAAGTGGTACTTTTTATAAGAGTTAGAAAGTGATACTTCTCCATGCTTCGAGATTTAGCAGACTGTCTTCATTTTAAAGTTACTTCTTACTGCAAATAGTCTTTATTGTGTTGTTTTATTAATTTTAACTTTATTGATGGATTTTATAAATTAAAACTTTGGAATAATTTGAATAACGCTTCCAAAAATTATTTTACAAGATAAGGAAATTTTTAAGTATATTTTCGTGTAAAATAAAGAAAAAAAAAATTATTAAGTGCTAATTTTAACATATATAAGAGCCCAAGTAGTAATCTAAAATGATACTAAAAATTACGATGCTAGAAGTGAAACTCTTTTTTTTTTTTTTTTTTTTTTCTGATTTTTTTTTTTATAAAATTGGGTTTAGCGATGCAAAACCTCCGTCATGTACGGGGACTGCCTTCGATTCCCTTCCACCCCACACGAGCGTCTTAAACAAAGGTGCGCTGTCCTGAGAAGGTTAAAATGACTTTTACTGGAAAAAAAGTATTTCTTTATAATTAACAATTCATAATTTAACCTCTCTAAATGCAGGAAAACCAACAAATGAAATTCAAAACTCATCAAAGTTCTTTTGTTGGACAAAAATATAATTGAGAGTAAATCTAAAATCTAAAAAAGTTTTCTCTGTAAGTTCTAGCATTGGTGCTGCTAATTGCAAACAAAAAGGGAGGTGGACAATTATTTGTTATAGCATTCCTATATACAAAATTTCAACATTCTGAGGCTACTCATTTTTGAGTCATGCAAGATACATACATACCTATGTACAGACATCATGAAAAAAGCTCTTTAAATCTATTTTAAATGCTTTTTTAAATCCGTTTTGCGAAAAAGTTTTTTATGCTATTGTTACATACAGATGTCACACAGAAATATTAAATTGCATTCCATAGTGGCCAAAATGGATTGTTTCATTGAAATATCATACTAAAAATTTTTTGCTATTACAATACTTTCTTTACTTCGTACAAGGAAGTAAAAAAAAAAAAAAAAAAAAAAAAAAAAGCGGTATAATAAGATATTGCATTAGCTTGTAGAATTAAGAAGAGAGTAATAATAATTGTAAAAACATTCTATTACTAAGACTGACACAAATATAAACCATTTGTAAAATTGTCTACTTGCTGGTACATTTGCCTCTTCATGACATTACCTATCCTGTAAAAAAGTCCTTTAAATAATATATGTTGAAGCTGTACTAAGTAGTAGTATTTTTAGTAGAAGAAAAGGAAAATTTAATTTGTATTTTTCGTGCATTCTCTAAAATATCAGAAAGTACTGAAATTTTTAACTTCCTGCTATTTATATTTTAATTAATGAATATCAAATTAATAAACATTTCGTAATGCAGTAAAAGCTTGGGAAATGTCAAATTTTGAATATTTGAGCAAAGAAAAAATGGAATTAATATTAGAAAAGCCAAATCAATGGCCAATCAAATACAAAGAATCATCTTATTTTCTATCAAGTTGAATATTGAAAACCTAAATTTTAAGTTACACAACATTTTGGAGAAAAGAATGCATTTCAATCGTAAAACCTGACATATTTTATAGGCTATAAATATGAAAGTAAAATATCTGATCTGGTTATGAAATTCCGCCAAATATGAAAGTCTGGAGATGTTGCCAATCATTTCAGGAGCAATTTAAATGAACAGATCATTTTTATTTAGTTAGATAATAAGAAAAATATACAAATTAAATATGCAACACATAAAAAACTTTTAAATCACTATTCATATTTTATCACATTACATTACCATTGTTAATCCATTTTCTAAACCATATATAAGTGGCTTTTTTTTTTATGCTTGGATCCGGTAACTTTAAAATACTTCACTTTATGTAATCCCAGATATTAATAATTTTTTCAAAGTGCAAGGGGAAGAAATAGAACTTGTATACTTATTTACAAAAGTTAAATCAGCTTATCAATAATTAATTTAATTTAATTTAAACCAAAAGTAACTTATTATTGTGTTGTGGTGTCATTCTTATCCATCACTGGTGCTAAATCACTGCATTTAGCATCAACATATGTGTGTTAGTATATGAGTTGCTTAATGGCCTTAAAAATCTCACATTTACTAAATTTTTTGGCTGGGGGATTTTTTTTTTTTTTTTTTTTTTTTTTTTAATTCTAAAATATTCCAGGTAGTTGAATGCCAGATAGGCTGGTTTTTATTTATTGTCCTTCTACGTACAGAAATAAAAAAAGAAATGGATGTTTATTGCAAGTGTATTTTGAGAGCTGCATGTCTGTAACAATTCTATTTTATTTTTATTTTAAATAATATAAGACTTCAATGGAATTCATATTAATTAAGCAAGTTGCTGCATTTATTACATGCGCAAGGTACATCTCGTAAGAAGACATGCTAGTAGAAATGCATTTAACTAATGCTTTTTATTAAGAATGGTGTGAACTAAAAATTGAAATTAGCATTTATTTACCACTTTAGATATAATACATATTTTTTTACAAGTGTTCGTTAGTTTTGAGAAAGAAGACTTATTTTCTTTCTCCTTTTTCTTATATATCCCATTTTATTTATTGTTGAATAACAAAGCATACAAAGGCTATCTACTTGAACTTCATCATTTTTTTGTTCAAAGCATCCTTGTATCCTTGGGGACTAAATCAAAGGATCTAGTAACCTTGCCATCTATCATGAATTTTGAGAGAACGTTTGAATTGATAAAAATATACCTATTCTGCAAACATCTATGCTTACTTGATATGTGATCCTTAGTATATCAGTATGGTAATTAGCCTTCTCTAAATTTTCTTCTAAGCACTATACAAGACAGGTCAGCTGTTATGCCTCATATATGCTTCTGTAAATGCACAAGAAATTAACATATAATACTCAAATTCATGTACACATTTTAAGTTTATGCATTATTTTAGTAAAATTGAATAAAATTTTAATTCTAGGTAAGATTTAAAAAATCCGAGATCAGAACGTAACAGCTGAGTTGGTAGAATTATAATTTCTTGTGTAGCTTAGATTTTTAAGGAGGACTAAAATTTCAAATGACTTATTATAGATTTTGATAAAAATTTTCAAATTTTTTAGGTAACTGTGTCCAGTTTTGTGTTCATGCAGTTAGTGAATCCTTTCTTCCTTCTGTCAGTAAGAAAGTTAAGTTTTGATCCCTCTTAAACATGTATGATATTCGTGGGCTGATGTGCCACTAAAATAATGTACTGCATAGTCCAAATTTTAATCAACATAGTATGGTCAAAAGCAGTTTCTAACGTTTTAATTTAGAAAGATTGGTATTGCTACCATGTTTATGATTTCAATCTCATAAATCATTTTGAAACTTATTTAATTTTTTCAATATAAAAACGGCAATTTTTAATAGTTTTAATGAAAATTTAAGTAGTCTATCTTAGATAAAAATCATTAGGAAGATAAAGTAATGAGAAAAGTTATATTTAATTCAAGACTAGATGTAAAGATCTTAAAAATTTAACTTGGTTTGTGTTGTCTACAGGAATATAATTTTGAGATTTATTGATTGCTGATTTTACCCAAATTTGTAAATTTTTGTATTATACACTGCTCAAAGTAATAGTTAAGCTTTGTTCAGACGGGGGCATAAAAGGCATAAGTGGTTAAAGCCGAGCTTCGTTGCCAAGGCAACCAGTCTGTGCAACGTCACAAAATCTGGTTTAGGGCTCGTGGCATAGGGTTCAAAGATTTCAACTTTAAGCCGAGTTTGGGATAAGCGTCGACCAATCAGAGCGAAGCGGCATTCTACAAAAGATTTCGCTATCACAAAACAAGCAGAGTGAGCACGGGAAATCAATCGAGCAGGAGAACAGTGCGGGAAAGTTGTAGACAAATCCACGCATGTGCAAATTTAGCTTCTCTCATTGGCCACGGCTTACACCCCGTTCTGGCAAGTGTGAACGGAATTCCCATATTTTATGTCCTTATGACTACGCCTCTATGCCCTTTATGCCACCATCTGAACACCCTTAAAGGACATTTTTATTTTGGCTATAAACAATAAATGGTTGCAGTTTTTTTTTTTTTTTAAGCTGAAGTATGTTTCAAAGACACATCTGTGTGAGAAAAAAAATATCGGCTTGAAACTGAAAATGCACATTTTTGTTCAAAATGAAATTTCATTTCTTGAAATAATTTGATAAGCGAGATAAAAACTATGTTCCACAACTCAGAATACCCCTGAATAGCACATCAGGGTAATTCTAGGCATTATGGGACTATTAGAAATATTTTTTGTGAGCAGTGGTTTCAGTCCCATAGTGGGAGAAAGAAAGAAACGCGTGTTCGGCACTTCACGTCTTCCAGGTATTTAAAATAAAAAAAGTGTCATTATTTTTAGAAATTATTTCATCATTGTATTATATATTTACTATCTCAAGGGAAAATGGTAGGTGAGCCTGGTCATGATATGTAAATTCACTGATATTAAAATCCTGATCTTAGAAACAGCCTTTTTTTCCAAATCTGGAAAACAGCAGTTATTTCTCCTATTCTGAAGCAATCATTCTGCTGCCTAGATTTAGCAAAATCGCCGAATGGGTTATTCACAAACATATTCTAGATTTTGCTGAAGGTAACAACATCTATATCCGTATACCTGAGCAGCATGGATTTCATCCTCATCATTTAAAGCATGCACCAACTCCTATGTGTTGTTGAAAATATCTCGGAGAGGCTATAAAACAGCGAATCAAGTGGTGGACTTTTTCTCAATATCTCAAAGACTTTGGATCATGTTTGGCTAGAGGGAATCATCTACAAAACTGTCATCCTGGTTTTCCCAAAATTACATTACATACACGATTAAGTCCTATCTTACAGTTAGACATTTTGTTGTTCACTTAAATCACATATTCCACAACCTGGCTAACAAGTATTAAAAATTTCCCCGATAATTTTCTTTCTTTGTGTGAATGACATACCTCACACTACCAACATTACACTTGCCATATATGCAGACGATACAGTGATCCTTGCACAAAGTGCATCTCTGTCTTCAGTTACATATGCACTACAAAACCGCATACACTCATTGGAGTCTTGGATTTAAAAATGGAAGCTCAACATTTATGTGGACAAAATCGTGGCTGTAATATTCACACAATCGACGAACTATCATCATCAGTATATATGATACTGCTATTCCTTGGGCCATGTAAGTAACTTATCTTGGGGTCATTTTAGACCAATGACCTAACATTGGAGCCCCATCTTACACACATAATCTCCCAGTTTCAGAAGTCTATCTAGAAAAAAAAAAAACTATCCTCCACCCCTAAAATTCATTAATAAAACTACTCTCTATCCCTTAAATTCGCTGGAAGTCTGTTCTTTTCTTAGATAACAAGATTCTATAAAATCATGTTGCAGCCGATTGTGATGTGTGCCTGCTATGTCTGGGGATTTGTTTGTAAAACTATGTTAAATAAACTGCAAATAAGTCAAAATGTAACTTTGAGACAGATGTCTCGAGCATGCTGGTTCTACAGAAATGTTAAAATTTCTCAAGGAACTCGGTGTTAGTGTCCATGGCAAAAAATTTTTAAACAAAATTGTTTTTGTTCAAAATGTTTCTGTACTGTTATTAAAGTACAATCCACTTAATGTGGATAATTGCAGACTGCCAGGAGCCGTACTTATTAATTTGTAATGTTCATTGTTGACAACTTTGTACTGAATTCTTTTCTGTTACTTGTATATGTTTGCTCGTCATTTATTTTTCATAAATTGCTGTTTTATCTGTTTTTTTATTACTTATATCCTACTCTTAAACCTGTATTATCATTTTCTGCTGCTGATACATTGTTGCATATGTGCTGCTATCTATTGGCAACCATGTGAAAATTATTATGAAGAAAGCCAGGTTTTTTTTTCTTTGCTCTGGTGCTAAACTCTCTTTCAGCCAATCATTAGCTTTTTTGACTGTGGCTCCCAAGTGACCTACTGTTCAGTACTTCATTTGTCTACATTACTTTTTCTCTTGATGAATATTATTGGCCCTACTCCACACTACTCTGGACTTATTTAATTCTCTGAAATGCTATTTACACAGTAGACTGATTATATTTATTAGGCTTGGATAGGGCTTCGGCCCAGGAACCTGTGTTTCACGGCCTGCGGCCATCTAACATATAATTTTATATTTCCTTCAAATTATTGGCATACCCGTATTCTTTAAAATAATAGTTATTTTAAAGTTAACGAGCAAGATTTGAGGTTTATTGTTAAAGAATGAGTAGCTTTTTAATTCAAAGGAGTCTTTGCACTAAAATATAAGTTGTGGAGAATTTGTTCCTCAAATTACTGACCCCTCCTTTAGCATGATTATTTCAGTCTTGTTATATTTAAATATAACATATTTAAATTGTAATTAGTTATATCATTTGGTTCAAAAAGCATGTTGTATCCCTTCTATGGTATTTGAAATAGATTTATTTGATAAAAACATAACAAAATTGTTTATAAGTTTATGGTAATCATTGCTTGAATCATATGCTGTGTTATGAATGATAGCCTGTAACCCCTCGAGGGCACATCCTCATGGTGCCAGATAGAGGAATAACTCATTCGGGTCGTAGAAGGGAAATAAAATACCTTTCTTGGACCAACAGGCAGAAATCCAACCTCTTGAGGCAATGGCAACCATTTTTCGATGACAGGTCATTTTATAGATTGAGATTAAGCAAAACAGAGGTGTCAAACTCAAATTGCATGTGGGCCACATGCATAATCTGAAAATAACTGAGGGGCTAGATTTTTTTTTACCCAAATGAAATTTTTATTAATAAAAAAAATATTTTAAATAAATTTAAAATTTCACTTACTAAATATTTATGAAACTTAATAATAATATAAAGAGAAAAAACTCAAATTTCTATTAATTTTCTCTCTGAAATCTGAATTTTAGTACTTGTAACTTGTTGGTTATATATTGTAATTCAGACATACTACTAAATATTAAATTCGTTAGACTAATGTTCCTTTCAAATAATTTTAGTATGTTTAATTAACCATTAAATAATTTACTTGAATTTAAACTAAAAGTAAACAAATTATATAAAATTTCTAAGCTTTCAGAGAAGCTTTTCCTAGAGGAAAAAAAATTTTGAGAATTAACTAATGACAACTTAATTTCTTTCTTTTATTTATAAATTTTTCTTCACATAAATAAAAACGCATATGTTTGTATGCAAATAATTCTAAACTCTTTATTTCTTACTACAGTTTAACAGTTGATGGTATTAGATTGTGAGAAACTGTGTAGCCTTGGACAGAAATTACTGGAAATTATTTCATCATGTAGATGTCATTGTAGATGCTTTTCTCTTATCAATTTACGACTGTGTAAAAGAGCCGTTTGCATATTACTCTATTCACAAACAAAACGATTATGCTTAGTGTAAAGTTCTTAACTGAGTTTATTTATTTTTTAACATATATGAATAAAAGTTGATCAAATATTTCTTCAAATCTTTGAATAGGATATGTATCACACTAAATTAATTAACTACACTTATAAATTTTATGGTGCATTGTTCACATTCATTTTTAATGAAAGTAATATAAACTTGAACTTGGAAACCATATTTGATATATAAGCTAAAACCTGGAAATCTTTTCAACACCATATTTGCAACAAGTACATACTTGAAATGTCTGCATGGGCCACATGTAGCCTGCCAGTTTGACACACCTGGTTTAAGTGATTCAGAGATGGCCGACAGTCAATCAATAATAATTTCTGTTTAGGTTGCTTAATGAGCTGAGCTACTGAAACTCATGTAGTTAAATAAATAAAACTCTGCATTGAAATTGGCAGTTCGGTGTACAAGAATTTGCTGTGAATTTGGAAATGTGTCAAATAGCTGCAAAATTTGCCCCTTATCTGCTGATTCAGAATTATGAAGATAATCGCATTGCAGTTTACTAAAAGAATTTTTTTTGATAATGCAAATGAGGATGAAAATTTTATGAAAAAAAAATAATCACAGGTGATAAGAGGGGTTTGTTAATCTGATACTAAAACAAAAGCCCAATCTTCACAATGGATTGGAAAAGTTTCCTCGAGGCTGAGGAAAGAACAGCAGGTCAGACAGAAAGTCAGTCATGTTGACTGTCTTCTTTGACACTGAGAACAGAATATTTGTCAAAACACCAAATAGTATATCATTGGTATTATCTTGATGTGTTGAGATAAGAAACCTGTGGAGAAAATATAGACTGTGGATAAACAAATTAGGGTTCCTTCATTGCATAATGACTTTTTTTCTAATTGCCAAATTAAATTTGATTGCAATAAAATAAGAATCAATTTTAATGAATTAATTTATAATAGAATTTTCAAATATATTATAATTTTGTAATCTTATTCCTATAAGTGGCTTTCTTTTCTGATAAATTAACCTTAATGATTTCCAAAGCAAATTGAAAGAAAACCAGTTGATGAGAATTCAAGCTGGTGATCCAGTAGCTAGATATTATGGCCTCAAAAGAGGACAGGTAAAAAATTTATATTTGTATATGTTTATTTTTTAAAATTTTTAATATTCAATAATAATAAATAAATTGAAATTTTGCAGGTTGTCAAAATTATTCGAAATAGTGAAACTGCAGGCAGATACATATCTTACAGACTTGTTGTTTAGCTACCTTTTAATGTAAAAACTTTTGTAATAAAATATGTATATGTATGCATATCTGTTTAATTGTATTCCTGAGTAAAACATATCCTTATAAAAGAATGATCATGCATAAAATTGCATTTTATTTTTTAGGTACTTCAGAATATTTTGTTTCGAGAAATATGAAAATCTAGCAATACATTTAACCTGTTTCACATATGTATATGTTTCAATAAGCCAGAAAATAATACCATGAATGCTACAGGTTTCACTACCAAGAGCTGGCCTGAAATTGCCATCTCATTTCATATGTAATCTGTTAGAAACAAGTAATGAAGATTTAGGGAATAAATATTTACATTTTTGAACAATGTTAATAAGAAAAGCATGCAGATATTGAAGGTCTAACACAAGATAGACCAAAGAGTTAGCTACAACATGCGTAAATTAAAACCTTAAGTGGTAAGCATTATAATATTCATGTAGGATGGTGCACCACCCCACACTGGGCTTAAGGTCCAACATGTGTTGTGGCAACATGTCTCCGACAGCAGAATCATTAGTCATGCACTTCGTACGGTATGGCCACCACAATCTCGATTCTTTTGACTTTGGGTTGTGAGGATTCCTTAAAGGTGTTGAGTATTAAAGGCATGCCCCCGGTGTCACAACTTTGAAAGATTAAATAACATTACAAGTGAGACAATTTTGATACGTTGCAAGCTACCGTGTAAAATGTTGTCCACCGTATGCAGTTCTTCGAACATCACAGTAGTTGCCATATTGAGTCCCATTTGTCAGAAGCAGTCATTTGTTATCAATAAAATTGATGTGTGCTGTAGCATTTGGCATTTAATCATTCATTATTCACTCTAATACATTTTTGCAGCAGCAGCATTTATCCTGGTGGTGACTTTTGTTATTTTTTCCTTTTAAATCAAAATTCCATGATCTACATTATACTGCCACCAAATTTGGTTGTTTCATCCAATACTTTACTCACTAGAGAGCTCTAAATACCTCATGTGATAACCACCCACCCAATACATTAGAAAAAATGTTTAAATATCACTGAATGAGTTATTTCTCAAGCTGTCATGTTTTGATAAACATGTAGTGTTAAAAGCAAGAAATAATAAATGATGATTCCACAGGTTGGCATGAGGGATGTAATTTATTCAGCATGTGTAAAATCAATGATGTATCAGTTTGAGATGTATACCAAGCAAAAATATGATTATGGAGCCAAATTATTGATCTGATTTATATGGAATGTTTTATTAGCATGGAAGCATTTTATTTAGTGCCAAAGTTAAATGAAAAATCACGGCTCTGTATGCATTTTGTTATGGAAAAATATAAAATATACGTGTTAAGCATAAAAAAAAAAATGAGATTTACTGATGATTTAGAGATCTGGATTTTAGATTATTCCGATTATTGAATGTAAGGATTTTGGCCTTTGTACTGTATTACATTCTGCTATAAAATGATACATGGCTCTACAAACATTTTAATTCATTTCAGGAAACTTAATTTTCTCTTTAAATGAAGTTTTAACTAAAAGACATGGTACAGAGTTAAAATTTTACATTTCAGTTCAAGTTAAGAACACTTATCTGAGACAAGTAATGAAGTAAAATTTTCTGAATGCTTTTGAAACAGTCTCTTTTCTGTGCATGTTCAAGTGTAGATTTTTAAGAGAAATTCAAATGAATTAGGACATTTATTTGACTGAATATTTCGTCTGTATGCTAAATAATCATGATATTCCAGATCTAGACATTGCCGAAATTTTTTGAATAAATATTGCATTTATAAATATGATGATTTATCTCCTCTAAATTCTTCTTCACCTTGCAGAACATCTAATATACTTTAACACTTTGACTGCTGTGTCACTTATATTCGAGTGATGGCAAAAATTCTGATTAGGCTACATCATCCATATTTGGGTGACGGCAAAAATTCTGATCAGGTTGCATCATCCGTATTTGGGTGTCAGTTCTTAGTACTTATGAGGTAAAAGTACGTATTTGAAAAAATGATTGTTGCTGATAGCTAAATTCATTCTGTTCACTGAACTGAATTGTGCTTTCTTCGGTATCAACTTATCTCTGCTAAACAACCAATTTTTATAAAATATGATCAGTAGTATCTACACTGCATTTAACGGTATTTGAATCAGAATCTGAAGATGTAATTTTGTTTATAATTATCTTTTTGAAAAATCTCAACTGTTTCTCATTGCTACTAATTGAATTTTTGTAAGTCTGCCCTCATAACAGGTTTTTTCTTCACTGCTGTATGATTCACTTAAAACAGGGTTCGTATGATCCTTAAGAGTCCTTAGGTTTTTTGGAATCAATCGGCAGGAAGTCCTTAATTTTAATTATCTGAAATTTGTCTGTTTTTACGACTGCCATTTTGAATGTGAATTAGCATTTTGCACAGATATTTTTGACGACTTATTGAAAAATATAGTTATCTTTTGAATGGGTGAATAGGTTCATGGATTATAATTTTTTCCTATTTGTAATATACGAGGGCATTTCGAAAAGTAAAGATATACCATACGCCAGAGGAGAAAAAAAAAGTTTTGGTGAGCAAGTTGGCAACACAGGTGTTATCCCTTGAACCGTTAGCTTTCTCCTTGTGGTCGTTTGGCATTTCAGCGTTGATTCTGGTTGGAGTAGGTCGTGTTTTCCAACAGGCGGCAACCTTCTATGACTGTGGGATACAAAAGCTTGTGCACCGACTTAACAAATGTTTGGATAACGTGGGTGATTATGTCGAAAAATAATAGATAATCCAGTTAATAAGATGTAACTGACTTTTTTTTTTTTTTTTTTTTTTTTAAGGAATGCGAGCAATAGTATCTTTACTTTTCGAAATGCCCTCGTATAAACAGTGGGATACTCTTAAGTTTCTGAGAAAGAAGTGAAGCATAAGCACTTCGAAATTATTTCATTTTTTTCTAATGAAGAGCTCCTAAACAACTTCTCGCTTTTGGGAATGTGAATTCTGTATTAAACAGTTTCAAATTTGACTATTTTAAGATCAGTTTCTATAGAAAATTTTAAATTCAGAAATCTGGGAATTTTTTTATGATATTTTTTTAACATTTATAATATTGATCAATTTCATTAAAATAATGCTAATATATAGAAATTGTATTCAAGAAATAACAAAGTGAAGCATCTTTATTTTTAGTTCTGATATTACAAAGTGACATTACTTTCCATTTTGACGACTTATTATATGATATTTTGAATTTGAAAAATAAATGCATAAATTGCACTTTAGCACAATTTACAAAACAACTCTTAGCAAAAGCAAAATAGCTATGTAATTATTAATCGTTTTTATTTTTTCATGGTAAGAGTTTTCCATGTAGTTGTCTCAATATGCATCAGTTTTCTCTATAAAATTGATTTTACACTTTTTTCCTCTGATTTGTTTTCAACATATTTATGGCTTTTTTGCTGTTACAGAATTGGTAAGAGTAATTTTTATTTAGGATATTAGACATTACAACTTGGAAAGTTTGAAGGATTATGAAGGCAAGATTTATTGACCGACGAATCTAGAAAATTTCATAAAAATGTCTTCATTGCATTAACACGTAATGCATGTATTTTGCAGAAAGTTTATGATGAACTTTTACTTTTTGGAAAATTTTCGGAAGAACGACGAAAACAAAGTATTTGAATGTTTTGCTTCAGATACTAGAAGTCTTTTTCTTAACATGTTTATCTTCCCTTTGTTTTCTCTACATTTCAGTAGACACAAGCATGGAAAATATCAAAAAATTTTCTAATCTTGTCACATGGACAGGCATTTATAGAAAGGAATTTTTCTATTAATGAAGAAATCGAAAGATGACAATTTAAAAGATTCATCTTGTATGTCTCAATGCATCATCAGTGAGTTAGCTAGGGAAGACATCTGCCCCTGGGCGCAGCATTTGTGGGAGGGCCAAATTGATATTACAAAGTTTTAGAATGAAATGTTTCTCATTCTTGGCACAAAATCTTCAGTTGTCCCCGGGTGCTGAAAACCCTAGCTACGGCTCTGTATATCATACACTGGGCTAGCACTACACATTTTCTCACCTGATGCAGTCTCTCTTTGGGTCCGAAATTCTAAAATTTTGCCATTTCTAGATTTTGTTACTGGATGTGCCACTAAATTCTAAAAATTCTGCTACACCGGCCTTTATGGTATATCATTTCATACTTTTAGAATATGCTAATATATAGAAATTGTATTCAAGAAATAACATTAAAGTTAACATAACTTTAATTAAATTCTAAAATGAAGAGGAAATGTCTGAAAGAAAGAAACCGAATACATAAAGAGAAAGAAATTATTCTTCAAATATATAGTTATTATTATGTAAATTAACCAGTTGTCTATAATTTCAGTCTTTATAACTTTCCTTTTCCTCACCAGACTGCACAGTTATATAATTTCTAAATGAAGGTTTTGGGATTGAAAGCAGAGTGTGTTTCCGGCTTTGCCTTGCATAGTTCCCGCCAGCTCTGATAATTTGCAATTATTCATCTTTGCATTGTTGCTGCTTATATTTGAATTTGTTAAGTGATAACTACGTTACGAGTTTGTAACGACATGTTACTGAGCCAGCTTACATTTAAATTAAATTGTGTAGTCTTTGACTACTAGTCCACATTTTTAGTTTGAATTTGACTATTCCTGTTTTAATTGGATCACCATAAGCTGTAGTTGATTTTGCTAGCAAAAGAACATGACTTTATGTTCTAAGGACTTTTTAAATAAAAGGTATATTTATGTGACTTTGTAGTTACTTCCAGACAGCAATAATTTGCTTCTCTTCTGTAAAAGGTTTTAGACTAATTAACTTTTATCAGATCAAGTAAAGCCTTATAACTACATAGTCAAGAGATTGACAAGTTAGGAGATAAAACATGCAGCAAGTAGTGGGACTATGGATTTGCTTATTGAACCAAATTTCTAACTGTTAGAAAAGATACTTAAAGAGAAGGAAATTGATATAAATTATCCAGAATGTCTGGAAAGACTTCAAATCAA